CTGCAAATGGCAAGATTTCATTTTTTTTTTTTATCTCTGCCCGTGTTTTAATTGGATTTTTTTGGGGGTGTTCTTTATATAATTTGGATATTAATGCCTTATGAGATATACCATTTGCAAATATCTTCTCCCATTCAGTAAGTTGCCTTTTTATTTTGTTGGTGGTTTCCTTCATGGTGCAAAAGCTTTTCAGTTTGCTGTAGTTCTTGTTGTTTACTTTTTGTTTTGTTTCTCTTGTTTGTGGAGGCAGATCTCAAAAAATATTGCTAAGGCTGATGTCCAAGAGTTCACTGCCTATGGGTTTTTTTGTTTGTTTCTTTTTTCTTGTTTTAAGAGCGGTTCCTGGTTCCTGTGGTTCCTGGTCTCACATTTAGATCCTTAATCCATTTTGAGTTTATTTTTGTGTATGATGTATGAAAGTGGTCCAGTTTCATTGTTTTGCATGTAGCTTTCCAGTTTCCCCAACATCGTTTGTTGGGAGACTGTTCTTTCCCCATCAGGTTTTCTTGCCTCCTTTGTTGTAGATTATTTGATCATATAAGTGTGGGTTTGTTTTTGGGCTCTCTATTCTATTCCATCGATCTCTGTATCTTTTTTTGTGCCAGTATGTTACTATTTTAATTACTATAGCTTTGTAGAATCATTTAAAATCTGGGATTATGATACCTCCAGCTTTGTTGCTTTTTTAAGATTACTTTGACTGTCTGTGGTCTTTTGTGGTTCCATGCAAATTTTAGGACTATTTGTTCTACTTCTGTGAAAAATACTATTGTTATTTTTAGTAGGGATTGCTTTTGAAAGTGTAGATTGCTTTGGATAGTATGGACATTTTGACAATATTAAGTCTTCCAATCCATGAGCATGGTATATCTTTCCATATATTGGTGTTGTCTTCAGTTTCTTTCTTCAGCGTCTTTTGCTTTTCAGAATACAGTGTTTTACTTCCTTGGTTAAATTTATTCCTAGGTGTGTGTTTGTTTGTTTTTTAGATGCCATTGTGAATGGGATTGCTTTCTTAATTTTTTTCTGCTAGTTTTTTATTAGTATATAGAAATGCAACAGATTTCTCTGTATTGATTATTTATCCTGCAACTTTACTGAATTCATTTATTCTAATAGTTTCTTGATGGCGTCTTTAGGGGTTTCTGTATATGGTATTATATCACCTACAGATAACAACAGTTTTACATCTTCCTTACTGATCTGAATGCCTTTGGTTTTCCAGTACTTGTTGAATAAAAATAGTGAGAGTGCTCTTGTCTCTGATCTTCGTGAAAAGCTTTCAGCTTTTTACCATTAAGTATAATGTTAGCTGTAGTTTTGTCCTATCTCGTCTTCATTATATTGTAGTATGTTCCCTCTGTACCCACTCTGTTGAGAGCTTTTATCATAAACAAAATGTTGGATTTCGTCAAATGCTTTTTCTGCATCTATTGCATCTATTGAGATGATCATATGATTTTTATCCATTTTGTTAAAAATGATTTGTGGATTTTTTTTAAAAGATTTTATTTACTTATTTGACAGAGATCACAAGTAGGTGGAGAGGCAGGCAGAGAGAGAGAAAAGAGGAAGCAGGCTCCCGGCTGAGCAGAGAGCCTAATGCGGGATCCCAGGATCCTGGGATCATGACCTGAGCCGAAGGCAGAGGCTTTAACCCACTGAGCCACCCAGGGGCCCTAGAATATGCCTTTTTTTTTTTTTTTTTAAAGATTTTATTTATTTGCCAGAGAGAGCAAGAGTGAGCACAGGCAGATAGAATGGCAGGCAGAGGCAGAGGCTGAGCAAGGAGCCTGATGTGGGACTCGATCCCAGAACGCTGGGATCATGACCTGAGCTGAAGGCAGCCGCTTAACCAACTGAGCCACCCAGGTGTCCCTAGAATATGCTTTTTTTAAACACCATTGCTCTGTATGTAGAAGCAAATGGAAGCAAATAGGGATGAAGGGACAGACCGACCTACAAACAATCTGTTGGGGACAAAAGCTGCTCTGGCTAAATCCCATGCTAACACGTCCTGTAGCAGTCCCAGTAGTTGTAAGGGACAAAACCTAAAAGCCCAAAGCACAAAACATTGGTTCATAGGGTCCTCTGGTTTAAAAAGTTTGAATCCTTAATTTCTGGTTTTCAGATATTTTGAATTGCTTCATAGTTTTGTAAGTTAGATGTCAGAGTAGTTTCTGCAGAGTAACTTTTAGAAAATCATTAAAGACAAGACCCATAGTTAATGTAAATATTGTTAATTGTGTTGCTCTACCTTTTATTACCTCATAAAAATGAGTATCTACTTTTTTACTTCCTGCTTTATGTCTTGGAGTAATACATGCCTCATTTGTTTATCATCTTTGTGGTGCAAACAACTTGACAATTCTTATTGTGGGGCTGCTGATGTATTGTGTGGATATATGTTAAGTGGTATAGAAATTTTGCTTTTTATATTTTGAAGAGTAATTAAGATCAGCAGACCATGCATGTTTCTTTAACTCTACCCAAATAAAGGCAACATGGGGTGGGGGGAGTTGGAAGTTTTCAAAATATATCATAGTAGACTTTTAAAAAACATTTTTTTTTTAATTTCTGTCTTAGAGATGTTGAAAAATAAAAGAATCCTTTATACCTTTCACCCAGATTTCTGAAATGTTAACATTTTACCACATTTGTTTATTTGTCTCTTACTCTTTTTCTCACTGTTCTATGTGCTATTTGCTATGTAACACATACTGTTTTGTGTGTGTGTGTGTGTATGTATAATACATCAAATGTGTTTGTGTGTGTAAATACTTCAGTGTGTATTTCCTTATGAATGAATATTCCCTAATATATAGCCATAGTACAGTTTTCAAAATCAGAAGATTGATATTGATATGTGCCATTATCTCATCTAGAGACTGTTTACAAATTTTTCACTTACTTTACTCTGTGCTTTAAACAAAAAAAACACATTTTTTTCCTTGTCCACATTCTAGTAATCTAGAAGCACCTGTTACGTTTAGTTGTTATGTCGTTTCTCCTTTAATCTAGAACAGTTCCTCAGTCATTCTTTCTCTTTCATGACTGACATTTTTTGAAGAATGTAAGCCATTTATTTTATAGAATTTTCCTCAACTCGTGTTTGTTTTTCCTTTTAAGATTCAGTTTATGCATTTTTGGCCAGAAGTGACGTCGTCATATCAGAAAACCATTGAAGCTTTTGATACGTCCTTCCAAAAACATGTTTTAAATTACCAATTTTATTATCGTTTAGAAAGCAGAGTCCACGATTCTCAAATTTGTCCAGACGTTATAAATACTCATGTTTATTCTCTAGTAGTTTTTTTCCTTAAGAAAATTTGTGGCCTTTCAGCCAGCTTTTACCGAGTGGAAATTGCTGAATAAAATCAGAGTAGAGAGAGGAAGAAAGAGCTAGTGTAAAAACGCATAAGGTTGTTTTATGTAAATCAACATGGGCTGTTGCAGGGATTGAGTTTTTAAACCCTCAGCCAAGAATGATACATTATTCATTCCTGGAGTACATCTGCCAGAACACTGAGATCAATATACTATTCTTCTTTTAGAAGTTTTATACTTTCCAAGGCAAATATTTCCAAGGCAAATATATCAGGAAGGGAAGAGAGAACCCTGTTCTACCTGGTAGAAGTAAATAGACATTAAGTTTGTTTATAATATTCAGTATTATATTGAGTCAGGGACAATGTTTTTATTACCTTTGTATCTCCTATACTATCTAGAAGAGTGCCATTAAGTACAAAATTCCTAGTAAATGTCTTCAGTTGAGTTTGGTTTGTGCTGTAGAGAATTTAAATCAGTGGTTGGGCCAAATGCTGCTCTTCACCTGTTTTGTAAAGTATTATTGAAACACAACCATACCCATTCATTATATATTATCTGTGATTTCTTTTGTGCTACTATGGCAGAGTTGTGTTGTTGTGACTATGTGGCCTTCAAAGCCTAAAGTATTTACTTCTGGCTCTTTTTTTGACCCGTCTTTTGGATTATGAGCACTTTGGCATTAATTTGTTTTTGTTTTCCTTCTAAAGCACACAGTGAGATGTTTTACCACACTGTGCATAACGTAGGGATTTATGCAAGTGTAACTGCAAAAAATTTTTTTTTGGAGGTGGACTTTGCTGGGTTTGAGAGCATCTGTGTATTTAAATTTTGGTAGCTTTTACTTTCCAGAGGGGTTATACCAGTTTATACTTAAACTAATAATTTTGTGGCAAGCGTTCTTTCCCCATAACTTTGCTAACTCAGTGCCTTAGTCACCTGTTTAATCTTTACCAGTCTGATAGAGGAAAATGATATTGTAGGTTTGATTTGTATTTCTCTTTTTTGTGTTGGATTGAACTTTTTAAATTTAAGAGCCATTTGTGTTGGATTGAGCTTTTAAAATTTACGTCTTTTTTGTGAATTGTCTTTCAGTGTCCTTCCTGGTATTAAGTCATTTACAAGTATATAGTGAACACGTGTCAAAGATTTATTTACTACTAGTAAGGAAACTAGCTTGATGACAAAGATGACTTAGAGGAGAATGTGTGAGATGATGAAGTATCAGTGAGAAATTTTCTTACAGGGCAAAAACAAAAACCCCAACACTAGAACTCTTAAGTATTATCTTTTCTACTAGAAATTGAATTACATTTTTGCTGGATGAAAACAATAATTTTCAATTTATCAGTCTTCTCTAAGTTATTATCTAACTTTACAGAGTCAATGTCCTAATCAATAGAAAATAATAAATCAAAGTCTTCTGGCTCAGAGCAAAAGATGACTACTAGGCAGGCTTATTTTTGATACTGTAGTATACGTTTGTAAGGACATGCCATGGTCTTTAGCCTTATTTCAAAGTTTTGGATGACTTTTCTTGATGTTTTCCTTCCTCTGTTTTACTACATTTCAAGTGATACTATTTCTTTATGAATTACTAGTAAACTATTAAGAAGGTTACATAGTTCACCATTGTCTGTCATAAAACATACTGTTCTTTTTTTGCTTTGTAGGAACTCATTATACAATGACAAATGGAGGCAGCATTAACAGTTCTACACACTTGCTGGATCTTTTGGATGAACCAATTCCAGGTGTTGGTACATATGATGATTTCCATACTATTGACTGGGTGCGAGAGAAATGTAAAGACAGAGAAAGGCATAGACGGGTAAGTGTTTTCAGTAATTTATAGTGTAGTGTGTAACTAGATAATTTAATAATATATTTTTGCCAATGATCTCAGGCTACCAAAATATATATCATGCATTAAAGTACATTTAAGTAAATTTCTACATTTTATGAGTAATACATGTTTTTTTTTTCTCTCTATGTAATTTTTTTTAAAAAGTTTGTTTATACCTCTGGAAAGGACTTGAGGTAGCTTAAAATAAAAAAAAGGAAACTAGTTCAAAACAGGAAGGACCAGGAAAACACAGCATGTGAGTTGGGAAGGAAGATTGAGGTATAGAGTCAGCACGATTTTTGTCTTTGAGCAGCACAGCAGTTACAGTAAAGGAGGAAAGTTGTTATGTAATTCCTATTATTACAAAAGAAGAAGCATATTGGAGAGATAGCTTCATGGGATTTTACTGTTTTCTTTTATCTCCTTTTTCAGTTTTATTTATTTATTTGTTTTTAAAGTGTTTTTTTTGTTTGTTTTAAAAAAACAAATTTTTTAAATTTAGTTTTGAGAGAGAGAGAACATGAGCAGGGGTGGGAAGGGAGAGGGAGAAGCAGACTCACCAATGAGCAGGGAACCTGATGCGAACTCAAACCCAGGAGCCTAGGATCATGAGCTGAACTGAAGGCAGATGCTTAATTGACTGAACCACCCAGGCACCCTCCTTTCTCAGTTTTAAATGCTGGGATTTCTCAGATTGAGTCCTGTAATGGGCATATTTAAGTGTTGTAATGAATCACTAATTAAAAAAAAAAAAAAGAATTACTTACATTGTAATAATATTTCCAGTGGTTTTTATAGCAAATGTATATTTCAGATACATCTTGGGCTAAAAAGAGTTGGGCTAAAATTTCTTCAGAAATCAGCTATTCCATTTGTAACATCAAAAAAAGAAATAGATAAATTTCTGCTAAATTAAAAAAAATAAGTTTAAAGTTTTATCTGTATTTTATCCATTAAATAAAAAACGTTAAAAGAAGAATGGCTTAAAAGTGTCACTTGTGAGTTGTGACTTACTGATGTAATCCAAAAATAAATTAAAAGAAAAAAAACTCTCTTTGAAAAATAAAATTCCAAATTCCAAAAGGCTTTTTATAACTTTGAGGTCTGAAAATTACTTATAAATGAAAATAACTGCTTGTAAAATTAGTTAAAACCTTTCATATTAATGTATACATGTATAGTAAAGTTGAAATTAGAATTAGATCATTTTGTTTATGACAAGTATAACCCCTGAGATTCATCAGTCAGTATTTACTTTTTTGAAGATACAATCCAGTGGTGATTTTCAAAGTTTCTCATCTTAGAACACATTTTTATTTTATTTATTTTATTTTATTTTATTTTATCATCTGAGAATACTTATTTTTTAGATTTATTTTTTAAATTTAAATTCTATTAATTAACATAGTGTATTATAAGTTTCAGAGGTAGAGTTCAGTGATTCATCAGTTGTATGTAACACACAGTGCTCATTACATCATGTGCCCTTTTTAATGCCCATCACCATGTTACCTGATACCCCGACCCTCCTCCCCTTCAGGAACCCTGTTTGTTTCCTATGGTTAAGAGTCTCTTATGGTTTGTCTCCCTCTCTGATTACATCTTGTTTTATTTTTCCCTCTCTTCCTCTTTGCTACTCTGTTTTGTTTCTTAAATTCGATATATGAGTGAAATCATATTATAACTGTTTTTCTCCGATTTATTTTGCTTAGCATAATAGCCTCTAGTTCCATCCATGTTGTTGTAAATGACAAAATTTCATTTTTTTGATGGTCGAGTAGTATTCCATTGTGTATATATATACTGCATTCTCTTTATCCATTCATCAGGAACACTATTAAACTCAAAACTCTATACAGTTATTGAGGATGCATAGGGAACTTAGTTTATGTGGTTATATTAATTGATATTTACCATATTAGATACAGAAACTGAGAAATTAAAAAACGTTGATTTATCTAAAAGTAACAAAACCCCCTTACACATTAATATCAAAACATAGTTTTACAAAAAACGAAAACATATTTTTATGAAAAATTATTGTGTTTCCCAAAATAAAAAAATATTTAGTGACCGATGACCAGTACTTAAAGACTTTTCTAAAGCAATCAGGGTTGATACTAACAAGTATGATTTTTTTAATATTGTATAATGAAAAGTGTCATTCTTATAAGGGTCCTTATAAGAAATAAGGAATCTGCCATCATTGCAGTGATATATGTTACATTTTTATAAATCTCATTATTGTTGGTTTAATGAAAGACTGCTGGATTTTAATATCTGCTTCTGCCTTCAGTCTGTTGTGGTATGTTACTTGGGTTGAAATATATGAAGAAAATCCAACCTCATATAGATGGGTAGTTGGAAAATCTAGGAATATTTTAATAACCTTTTTATATCATTATGGATATTCTTTGATTCTATACCAAACTGACAGGTGGTAGTTTCTTAAAGATTAGTTGCCAGTGGGTAATCTGAAACTCTATTAGTGAACTTTTTATCTTTTGTTACAGTAAAATCTGTTAGTTCACCTTCAACTCTAATGAATAATTTTGTAACATCATGCAGTGATCATCTGGAAAATATTCACTGTTTTATGCAGTTCTTTCAAGTATTGACACTTTTCATTAGACGAAATTAATAAAAATAACATTGGTTAATACAACACTGATCTCTTTATAAAAGTCTTTAATATTGGGAATCTGTCATCCTTACAGTGATAGATACAAGTTTTCCAAAATTCTTTTACTTCAAAGCTCAAATTCTATCACTAGAAACAAATACACATTTATTTCACTTGAAATGAGAGGCTTCTTTGGTTTGTTTTTTGGAAGATGCCTGTGAGAGTCCCAAGTCTGAAAAACCATAGTTTGGTATCTTTCTTTCAAGTAAAAATGGCATATCATGTGCAGGTGTCAACTTTATTTTGTAAATCACATAAATACTTTTCCTCAAGGCATAACCTCATACTTTAGTATGCATCAAAAGACTTTATATATACCTAAGTCATCACACCTAATATAAACAAGACTCAATGATTGAGGCATAATAATTTTTACTACTTCATCAGAGTCATTCATAAGTGAAACTGGCATTTACTTAGTTTTTTTACTGAGATACGCGGCAGTGAAGAGTAGGATGACTACCAGTATGTTTGGATGCTACTGCCTTGATTTGTGCTTGGGAGCAGCCGTTTTGCATTTGCTTTTGCATTATCAGTGAAAATGTAAACACAGTGAAATAGGCACATTGTCTTTTAATATTACAATGCAAATAGTTTTTATCCTGAAGACCTGTTTGAGAAGGTCTTAGGGACCTTCAGAGTGTATGTGACCACATTATAAGAACCAATGTTTTAATCCCATATGCCTATTGCAGGCGCACTGTAATTCCTGCATCTTGTATGAGTGTTAGGTAAATCAGTTGCAGTTAGAACTGTATACATTTAGAACTTATTAACATACTCTGGTTGGAGTTTAAATGTGTTTCAAAGTGAGGTAGTATGAAAGTGTCTGTAAGACATCATGTTCATAAAATTCTAAAGCAAATTAAAACTAAAAGATACCATGATATACTTTTTTCTCTTTGATTTTGAAGGTAGTCCATAGATCTTGAAACACTTAAAATAATATGAAGTAGTCAGTGTTTTAGCTAATCTTATTAAAGGTCTCTTTCTAGATAGGTCAAATACCATTTTCTGTACTTTGATCTATGCATAAAATTTTTTTTTAAAACCTGAGAAATTCTATACATTGGTGTTCTTATTGCTGTTTTTTATTTAATTTATTTATTTTAAAGATTTAATTTATTTGACAGAGAGAGCACAAGCAGGGGGAGTGGCAGGCAGAGGAAAAAACAGGTTCCCTGCTGAGCAGGAAGACTGACACAGGACTCCATTGCAGGATCCTGAGATCATGACCTGAGCCAAAAACAGACGCTTAACTGACCGAGCCACCCAGGCGCCCCTTTACTGTTTTTTAAAACATTACATTAAAAGAAAACCTTATATGTCATAGTCAGTGTGTATAAGTACCTAATTCTTTTTTCCCCCAAACTTCTTATTAGACTTATACCCCTCCTACCTCCAGTTTTGAGGTAAATCAACATTATATCATTTCAGATATTACTATTTCGGTATTTTGCAAAATGTCAGTAATCTAATTGTCATTCCTTCTTTATTAGCATGAAAATTTCTGTAAAGAGAACCTTCGATTATTTGGGTTCTGTAAAGTTCAGATTATTCAGAAAAGGGGAAGTTTGAAATTAGATGGTTCCCTAGTATCCTCAAAGTTGACTAGTGAGAGTTTGGTTTGCTTGTTTGACTTCTGTTTCTGTATCTTGATTGGAACATATTTGATGTATTTTAATCATCCCCATTATTATCTTTATTGATGCCTGTGTTATTCTTTATTTGACTAGAAGAGACCTGGATTGTTGCCTGTGTCCTTTGGCACATCCTTAGTAGACTTTGGCGTATTCCAGGAAAACAAGATGATCCTCGCTCATCTTATACATTTCCTGCACCATATCTGGAGTCAGCCACTTCTCCAAGGAGCCCTGGTTCCTTGGAAGGAAGATGATTAATAGGCAGTGTGGGCACTAGACATACTTCTTGCCTCTGGGTTGGCCATTGTTTTCTGGCCTCATAAGTTTATGGGAACTTTCTAATTTAAATTCAGTACTAAAGGGCTTTTATTTAGCCTCTAGTTCTTAAATCTGTACCCTCTTTCAGTCATGCCAAAAAGCTCAACATCATATGTATAATCATATGATTTACTTTGCAATACACACACAACAGTTTCAGATTATTTACCAGTGCTATCCCCATTGATGTGCTTACTCTGAAAAGTTTTAGTGTTTTCTTTTTTTTTCCCAATAGTTTTTGTTCTTAGCATTTATCCCTTTAAGGTCACACATACAAACTACTTCGTTTTAAACTCCCGTTTCCATTCTAACCTGTTGCCACCCTCTTAAAATGATGATTTACTTTTAAAACTATATGGTTTATCCCTTTATTTAAAAAAAATACAAGCCCATATATTTATATGCTTATTTTTTCTTAGAAAGATGGTAGTGTACTGTATATAGTTCTGTCCACCTTGCTTTTCTCCCCTGCTTAACACTGCATCTGTCTTTCTTTTTTAGTGAGTACAGAATTTTTTATTTCATATACTGCAGTTTACTTAACCAGTGCAGTATTGATGAATGTTTAGATAATCACCAAATTTTTAACTCCTGTTATATGAAACATTACAGTTACTGAGAAAAAGCAACATGGGGTTTAATGATTATTTTTGAAAGAAATGAACCTACCTTCAGAGTCTAAAAAATGCTTATCTGTGTATCTGTGATTAGTTGCTTATAGTATAGAAGGTATAAAATTGCCTTATTCATCCCAGAACTTAACTGAGCCTTTTTAGTGAGGAAATAGACCAGATTTTTTAATTCCAGCTGTAGCTATACTGTGAGATGATTTGAACACTGAAGTCCTAGACTGAGAATATGGGCTTTTTATTTTTATTTATTTTTTTTATTTTTTCAAGATTTTATCTATTTATTTGATGGAGAGAAAGTGCACAAGCAAGGGGAGTGGCAGGCAAGGGGAGAGGGAGAAGCAGACCACCCAAGGAGCAGGGAACCAATGTGGGGCTCTATTCTAGGACACTGGGATCATGACCCAAGCCTGAAGCAGATGCTTATCTGGCTGAGCCACCCAGGCAGCCCAAGAATATGGCTTTTAAAACAATCTTAATAGAATGGAAGAGGTTTGGGCTAGTTAGGGATAGGTTTAAAAGTACTTTCTTACTAAGAGAAGAAGAGTTGCCTTCTTGTGTCTTAGTCTAGTGAGATCTGGAAATCAAATCTATTTCTATCCTGCCAATCACACTTCCTCCTCTGTATTCAGTAGAGGACACCTTTGCCTTACACAGTGATAGAAGAGAGCCTCTGGACCCTACAAATGGGATTAGAATTCTGCATACCTGCATATTTACAGGCCTATAAATTTTGGCAGGCCCTTTAGTCACATGATGATTCTGTACTGTACTTATGGGCATAATACTGTTATTAACTTTTGTTTTAAAGAACATTATAATCCACTTAATTGCTAGAACCAGAAAGTAGTTAGGAAATGACAAACATTTCAAGCCATAATGTCTTATTTCTGTTGATATAAAAGTTATGTATCAGCTAAATTTGATTCAATTTAAAACAGTGTAGGCCAGACTCTGTGTGGTTTATGGACGCCTTGCTCTTAAATCCTGAGGTTTTTGTTAAAAATGCAGATCTCTGGATAGATGTTTATCATCTGGTTTACAGGTGTAACAACTGTCTGACGTAGTGATTCTGCCCCAAACTCACCTTTCCCATGATTTAGTTTATAGATTACTATCTCATGTATAGTAACTGAAAAATAATTGTTAGAGTCTAGAATTGTGGCTTCTGTTCATAGTTTGAAAAATGAAGCATAAACATTTCTAATTTCAGATCAACAGCAAAAAGAAAGAATCAGCATGGGAAATGACAAAAAGTTTATATGATGCATGGTCAGGATGGCTAGTAGTAACACTAACAGGATTGGCATCAGGTAAAGAAAAATTTTAATGTAATCCTTTTTTGGTTAACAGAAAAATAAATCGTTCTCCCCTCCTTCCCACAATGTTTTTTTCAGGTCCTGTTGCACTTTTAAAGGTATTTATTTTGTTTCAAGAAATCTTCTTAAACATAAGACTGCTAGGAGGCAGGATGCTTTAGAGTCTAATCTTGGCTCTGTCACTTTGTTTATGCAGTTTGGTTGATCTTTCTGGGTTTCAGTTTCTGTGTCTGTAAAATAGGTGGTTTGGTCCAGATAATAAAGTATCTTTTAATATTAACATCATAATAAGTAGCTACTTATTTTTTGAGTGCTTCCTATGTGCCATGCACTGCCTTGAAGTCTTTACAAGTATGTAAACTGCATGGCAGTCCTGTGGTATAAGTGTCACTGTCACCACCATTTTACAGAAGAGGTGCCGGAGCACAGAAAGTTTGGTAACGTGACTGAGGTTGTATGGCTAGTAAGTGGCCCAGCAAAGATTTACATTTAGGCAGTTCAGCTCAAGAGTCTGCATTTTAACTACCATGCTGTCAGGAGCCCACAAAGTGCCTATGTGTGAGATTTTAAGAAGTAGGAGTTGAAGATCTCAAAGCAAACATTAAGGACTCTTTTAATGACTTTCAGTTTCCACCGTCGAAGATTACATCTACAAGAACATGAGGAAAATTAAAATTTATGTGGAGTCTAGAGGGAAGTACTGATACCTCTAATTGACATGCACAAGAATTTTGTGACTACTGTGTATGTGACCTTTTGATCTTTTTATACGATGAGAAGGTCTTAGATTTTGTCCACAAAGTTGTATATTTTTTGTATTCTGTCATTAAAATGATCTTGGTACATTTAATTTTTTGTTATTTAAGGGAAAAAACAGTCTATCACAGTGATTCATTAGTGCTATGAGTTTCACTAATTATTTCTAATGAACATTAAATTTTAATGATATTGAGATAGTTTGTAAATTTATTAAATTTCATATTGAAACATAATAGTAAAAACTCAGACTTTAGTAACCTGATTTGTGAACCTCCTGCTAGCTGTCTTTTAAAGATGTTTTAGTATCTTTTAAAAACCTTTATTACAAATCACAGTTAATTTAAATAATGTAACTAGCTTTAATTTCAAATGAAGAATAGCCATTTTATATTAAAAAGTGGCTGTCTATACTTTTTTAGAAGTAATATAAAATTACTTATACCTAAGACTTAAAAATCTTAAATTTATATAATATTTAAATTTATATAATATTCCCTTTATGTATAGGGAATCCCCAACTTTCTTTGAACCTCTTGGTAGTTCTTAACACTCCAAAAATGGATTTAACTTTTTTTTTTTAAACTCCCTTCAACATGTTTTTACAGGGGCATTGGCTGGATTAATAGACATTGCTGCTGATTGGATGACTGATCTCAAGGAGGGCATTTGCCTTAGTGCACTGTGGTACAACCATGAACAGTGTTGTTGGGGATCTAATGAAACAACATTTGAAGAGAGGGATAAATGCCCACAGTGGAAAACATGGGCAGAATTAATCATAGGTCAAGCAGAAGTAAGTCTTGCTGGGTTTGAAATGAATTAAAAATTGAGATAGCTAAATGAGTCTTCAGTTCACTTAATTATAGAATTAATCACATATTAGATGATTGCAACTGCATTAAAAGTAAAATGTAATAGGATAGATTGGAAAATAGGAGAATACATTGCAGCGAGTAAAATGTAAAGTTTCAAGAAGCTCTTTATTAGTTAACTACATAGTCACATTCAAGTCTATTCAATTATGACATTAAATATATATTATTGTAGAAAAGTGCAGTACGATCTGTATAATCACAGAAAGTCAGTATGAAATTATTAAAACTGCTGACATACCATGATTGTTGGGAAGTATAAATTATCAAAAAGTTTAGTAAAAGAAGCCTTGTAACTGGAGATATTTTAAAGAAATCCATAGATTTTTCTTTGTAGCATTATATTTAAATGATTACTATTCTTGACGTTCTGTAATGAAGTACATTGTAAAAGTTAGAATATTGTATAATACATATAGTTACCTGGTCATAAGGATGTTTTAAAAATTTTGTTCTAGCTGAATTTTTGAACGAAAAAGAATATATTTGCTGATAACATGGCTAGTATGCTGTTTCTCACTTGATCTTCAGAACTGCAGTAGAATGCAGTCACAGTGCAAATGCAGTTTTATCTTCAGCTATTTCCAAAATGTGATTTGTGGGTAGGCATAAGTTAAAGTAGAGCTGATTTTCGGCAATAAGATTTTAGGTATCAAAAAAAAATCTAGGAAAACATTAAACAGATTAAGCCTCTTTGTTATATAAATGTTTTTTGATTCTTCTTAAATATTTTGTTCATATAAAGCTTTAACTATTGTGGAAGTAAACCAGGAAACTTTTATGAGTTTCACACAAGTTTCTTATGATGGAAAGCACTTGCATTTGGGATGCACTGTACATTAAATTCATACTATTAAATGATTTGCCTTTTAGGGTCCTGGCTCTTACATCATGAATTACATAATGTACATCTTTTGGGGCTTGAGTTTTGCCTTTCTTGCCGTTTCCCTGGTAAAAGTATTTGCTCCATATGCCTGTGGCTCTGGAATCCCAGAGGTAAGCCATGCAATATTTTAATATCATTAAACATTTAATAATTGTTATGATGTTAATCTTTTCCCTTTGGGGGGGAAAGTAGTTGTTTTTCTGAGGAAATTGTAATAGGAGAAAGAAAATTTTAAAAATGTAAGCTGATTATCACAAGAACTTCTTCTCCATCGTCATTTCATTAACCATGGAGGTTGATTTTTTTTTTTCCTCTACCACTAATTTAACATATGACTAAACAAATATCAGAACACTCAGTTATAAAGCTGGAAAAGTATTATGTGGTCTAAAATTCTTTGATGGATTAGTTGATGTTTTGCTGCTGTGAACCTGATTTGAATATATTCACTCTTTTTATGACTATATTTTAATTAAATAAGTTAATAATTATTGAATTTGGCAGATAATCTTTATAACCATTTAATACTTTAAACATTTGACCACAGGCAATAGTACAAACTTTTGGGTTTTGTTTTTTATCAACAGTAATTTAAAGAATATATTCAGGCTTGAGTGGTGTAATTTAAAGAGTACACTTCGGATTGAATGGTGTGATGGAAATTCACATCTTTCCCCTTTTAATTTTTCTGTCTTAAGTAAGTTATCAGCTTTTTCTAATGAATTTCCTTTTGAAACTTAATTTTAGTGATTTAAAAATTTTTGTTAATTAAGAATGTCTTTAAGGGGCAGTATCATCATGCAGCTGTTGTCACTTGCCCTTCTTAACATATAGGAAAATATTATACATAATAACGGCACTCTGCGAAGACAAAATATCCTAAGTTCTGACACAGCATGTCTGAATGTATCTAACTGTTTTTACAAGAGAAGTATTCAAATTTACCTTTTCCTTGTTACGTAATTACAGTCCTTGTATTAAGGTCTGTATTCCCTTTAACATGGCCTTATATCCTAGTTTTGTTCATGAGATAGGGTTGCCTTCAATCCTTGCTTGAGGAGAGAATTAGAATATGATCTAGATTTATTATTTGTAGCATAATAGTTAAAGCTTTTGAAAAATTTTGAATTGTTCCATGGTCCACCAGAAAAATTTGCAAGGTAGTTTTGTAAGTAAAACAAGAGAGTAACTTAAATTACTTTAATTTTCCTGTTTCTTAAAGGAAATTAAGCTGTTTTAATCTTTTCTTTGTAGATTAAAACTATTTTAAGTGGATTCATTATCAGAGGTTACTTGGGAAAATGGACTTTAATGATTAAAACCATCACATTAGTACTGGCTGTGGCATCAGGTTTGAGTTTAGGAAAAGAAGGTCCTCTGGTACATGTTGCCTGTTGCTGTGGAAATATTTTTTCCTACCTCTTTCCAAAGTATAGCACAAATGAAGCTAAAAAAAGGGAGGTAAGTGTCTTTTGCGGCTTATTTGACAGATAAATATCTATTACATAGACTTAGTGAGAATTTTCTAGTGTAAAGATGACGTTTTTAACTTTTTACTTTTTTAATAAATTCTGTATTCACATTCAAATGTGAAAATTGCTTGCTTCTTTCCCCCTTTTTGAGTATCTGTAATGTCTTTCTAGAATCCATTCCCAGTGCTGCTCAGTTACTCTGATATTTTAGAGAAGTTTTGATAGACTACCTGGTGTCCATTGGTTTCCGTTGAATTTCACAAAGCTTTTTCCATTTGTTTTTGCTTTGCTTTACACCTTTCTTCCTCTAAAGTTTTTCCCAAATGTAACATTATTTTTCCCCTGATTTCTCACCATCAGTATTTTTCCAGGGTTGGGAAGTCTTAACAGCTGTGTTTTCCTCTGGAGGAAGTATCTAATGCCCCCGAGAGAGGTGTGTCATCTGCAGAGAGCTATCTGCCACCATGAAGATGTTCTCAGGGCCTTTAAGACCTCTTGAGGTTTAAATCAGAGATTCACACTAAAGGACATATAGGAATTCCTCTTTATTCAGCTGTTTACGAGCATTTATTTCCATTACCTTTTTTTTTTTTTTTTTTTAAGGCCAGCCCAAGTATTTCTAGGAAGGCTTTAAGCTTTAAGTATTACAGAGTTTCCTAATGTTTGTACATTGCTGTGGATATTTTCTAAAAGAAAAATGGGCTCCTGAGACCTTTTGTATTAGCTCTACACTTCGGGAGCCCAATCCCTTCTTTTTTTCCCAATCTAATCTGTAGGCCAAGGTGATACAGAGCACTTTAGGTTTTTAAGATATCATATTTTTATATCATTAAATACTGAGAACTCAGAGGTCTCTGACCCTCGCACAGGACCTTTCATCCTGTTGTTTTAATAATATAACAAAAAAAATCTTTTTTGTTATATTATGAATATTTTTATCAAAGTATTTGATTCTTCAATTGAAATGACTACTCCTTCATTTTAGTGTTAGTACTAAAACACTGTTCATGCATTGGCAGTAGTCTGAAAGGGGAACACTTCAGACCATCATAGTTCTGTCTCTGAATGATAAGGTGATTCTAGTACTATGCTCTAACACAAATCGCTAACATTATTGATTACTTATTATGTATCTGGCTCTGTGACAATCCCTTGCATTTTAACATTTAAATCCACAATAATCCTATTAACTTGGCACTATTATCCGCATTTATAGATAGGAAATTAGGGTATAAAATGCTAACTTGTCCAAGACTATGTAACAGAGTGTCAAGAGTATGGATTAAAATTTATTTTTCTCTGACTCCAAAGTCTGTACTCCTCCTCCTACTACTATTTCTGCTGTGACTGTGGATATGTATATATGTTAAAAGCCATACAAAACATAACCTCAAACTACATTGTAGCATAGCAGATTAGGGCTAAAATGGAGATACAGCATTTGTCTCTCCAGTGCATTTCCTTTACTTGCTATTGTACCTTGACATTTTGAGGGTAAGATTTTTATTTTTATTTACTCATCTTAAGTGCAAAATGTAATTTATTAGAAAATGTCATAGAAATTACATTCACTTAAATTTTAAGATGTACACTGTGATGATTAGTAATGTTTATGACATTAACTTTGTTCACCTTAGTATATAAATGGCTAGAGTTTACTTATTAGTTGGAAACATGAAGGCCTCATTTTTTGGCTTTCTTCTTAGGTTGACTTCCTTGACATTTTTAATTAAATAATTTCTTAATACTTATAGAACATTAAAACTTGTGTGAGTTACAGGTACTGGGTGTTAGCTTGATTGTAAAATCCTGTTACATTAAATGCACAGAGAATTCAGTTAAGTGTGTTGTCTACAATCCTTTAGTGGGAAAAAACAAAATCACTTAATTTACTGTCCTCCCCCAAACAAGCAGAGTCTGCATTCTTAAAGCCAGGTACAATTTACTTATTTTTTTTAAAATATTTATTTATTTAAGAAAGAGAGAGAGCAAGAGAGCAGGGGTGGAGGCAGAGGGAGAGGGAGAGAGAAACCCAAGCAGGCCCCTTGCTGAGAGCAGAGCCCAACTTGGGGACCCATCTCACAACCCTGAGATCAGACCTGAGCCAAAACCGAGAGTTGCACCACCCAGGCACAATTTAATTAAAATGAGTATTTGCTTATTTTTAATTTGCCAGAAGCAGCCTAAAAATGGAGCTCATGGTCTTAATTATATATAATTTAATTTCGATTATTTTCAGTTTCTTTTTCATAAATGTAAAATTGACCATTTGGTAAAATGGTTTGGTACCCTTGGATATTTACTGGAATGAAATAGTGAAAGGAACAAAGATTCTTAGAAAAGTAATTACAATGTAAGTGTCCAGTGAATTAAATGTGTAGTTGGCACTAGTAGTTCTCTAGTAACACTCAGTAGTTCGCACTGCTGAGAAGTGGGCAATGTCCTAGTGATGGACTGGGGAATTGGGGAGAAGATCTCTGAAAGTTTTTGTGGATATTTTTGTTTTCTTTAACTAGGGTGAAGCCATTGTTTGTGCTTTAGAATGAGGCTTTCCTATTGGCAGCAGTGGTGTTTTCAGAGGATTTAGAGTAGTGAAAATAAGGTAACTCAGTAGGTTTTAAGTTCTCTCGATATTTTACTACAATTTAGAAAACAGTAATTATTAGGGGTGCCTGGCTGGCTCAGTCAGTAGCGCATGTGACTCTTGATCTCAGAGATCTTGAGTTCAGGCCCCACATTGGGGAGTAATTATTAATGATGTAAAGCAGTAATTATTAATGATGAAGAAGTTAGCTCTAAAATATGAAAAAATTATATCCTATTTAAAAATAAACTTCTTGGGGCACCCGGGTGGCTCAGTGGGATAAGGCCTCTGTCTTTGGTTCGGGTCATAATCCCAGGGTCCTGAGATCGAGCCCCACATCAGGCTTTCTGCTCAGCGGGGAGCCTGCTTCCTCCTCTCTCTCTCTCTCTGCCTGCCTCTCTGCCTACTTGTGATCTCTGTCTGTCAAATAAATAAATAAAATCTTAAAAAATAAATAAATAAAAATAAACTTCTCTTCCCCTAAACCCCAGTTACTGTTCTCTCCACTGCTCTTCCCAAACATCTTCAGAATTGTCTGTATTCATTGCCTTTTCTTCTTTGCATCCTGTTTACATTAGTGTATCTCACACAAATGTTTTTTAACTGAATATTGAATATGTGAGTGTCCTTTCAATTAAAGCAAAAGAGAAAAAATATCTTTTTAGAGGATATAAATATTTGCCTCTGCTTGGGGAGAAAAGGGGTAAACATGTGAGTTAACTTCGGAAGAGGCATTTCAAAAATTCAAGCAACATGGGGAACTTTCATTTGGTATATTTGAATTTCTAAGAATATATGAAATAAGCCAAATCCTCTCTTTAGGTGCTATCAGCTGCCTCAGCTGCAGGGGTTTCTGTAGCTTTTGGTGCACCAATTGGAGGAGTTCTTTTTAGCCTGGAAGAGGTAGGTAAAGAAAACAACAACTATAACATTGTGTATAATTACCATTAAAATATGTATTTTGGTACACTTTTTAGTTTTATAGCTAGTGTAATAGATACAGATTGTGTTTTTAAGTTTTCAGGTTTAACTTCATAAAGTTATTTTTCGGTTATTCTTACCTACAGAGTAATACATTACATGTGTCCTTTACCTTGAGAAAAGCCTTAAAATTATTATTCATGTATAAATATTAATTGATTATTTAAAGTTTAACTTTCTTGACATACTTAAAAGTAAGCAGAAATGGATTTGGCTTAGTTAAATGGATTTAACCACTGTTTGTTAAATTATCACCCATGTTTTTATTTTAAGAGTTTTAATTAATTCCTAAATTGTGAGTTTGTCTTGTATGCTTATTTCTAGGGTAGTTATTCATGTTTAAGAAGATGATTTTAGTCGCATCAGTGGCATATTTTTTGTTTTCTCTGGTGCTTAAGACTTTTTTACATGTTTACACAAAAATGTGATTAGGAATGGTTTAAAATTTACTTTTCCAGTTTGTGTTCTTTTCCTCTTTTTTCTTTAATATAGAAGAAACAAATACTTCTTTATGAGCTAATAGGAGTTGGTGATGGTACATTTATTCTTAACTACATGATTGAATTAGAGGTGAAACTCATTTTGAAAATAAAACAATGCTAGGTATCTGAAATAATTATTATAGACATTTTTGATCAGTTGATATTGGGAACTTGTAATGATGTGATAGCCAAAGTTAATAAAACATCGGTTTTTTACTTACCACAGTAAAATGTATTATATGTAAACTCTAGTTAAACAGCAAAAATTTAGACTATGATATTAAAGTTATATCAGAAACATCTTATAAAATTATACTATTAATTTTTCTCCCCCCCCCCTTTTTTTTAGGTTAGCTATTACTTTCCTCTTAAAACTTTATGGAGATCATTTTTTGCTGCTTTAGTGGCTGCATTTGTTTTGAGATCCATCAATCCATTTGGTAACAGCCGTCTGGTCCTTTTTTATGTGGAGTACCACACACCGTGGTACCTTTTTGAACTGTTCCCTTTTATTCTCCTCGGGGTATTTGGAGGGCTTTGGGGAGCCTTTTTCATTAGGGCAAATATTGCCTGGTGTCGTCGACGCAAATCCACCAGATTCGGAAAGTATCCTGTTCTTGAAGTTATTGTTGTTGCTGCCATTACTGCGGTGATAGCCTTCCCTAATCCATATACCAGGCTCAACACAAGTGAGCTGATCAAAGAGCTTTTTACAGACTGCGGTCCTCTGGAATCCTCTTCTCTTTGTGACTACAGAAATGACATGAATGCCAGTAAAATTGTCGATGACATTCCTGATCGTCCAGCAGGCCTGGGAGTATATTCAGCTATCTGGCAGTTATGCTTAGCACTCATATTTAAAATTATCATGACAGTATTCACTTTTGGTATCAAGGTAAGTGCTAATGTGAGGTGCTATTTAAGTAATTTTGACATGTTTAAGAATTGTATGTGAAATGAGCAGTGCAATGCTTATATAAAAGTGGTTATTTCATAAGTGTAGGCTGAAAAAGTTCTTATCTTTTGTGTTTCATTTTAAGTAATGAATAAAAGAATTCTTTTGGATATATTGTTGAACATGGTTATCTGTTACTGTGTAACAAATTACCCTCAAACCCAGCAATTTAAGATAACTCTTTATTTTGCTCTTGCTATTGAGTCAATAATTTGAGAAGGACTCAACTGGGCATGCTTTGTGGTCTGTCATATATGTCTTCAGGCATGGCTAAAGCTGGTCATCTACCACCTGAGCTGGGAAGAGTCAGATAACTGGGTCTGGAACATCTGGGCTCCTGAACATCTCTTTCTCTCTGACTCTCTCTCTGTCTCTCTGGTTTTTCTAACGTGGTGCCTTCCAGGCATTTAGATTTCTTACATGGTAGCTCAGTGTCCCAAGAAAATTGTTTTTTTAACCTGGCCAGGGAAGTCATGCACCATGCCTCATGTTACTTTCTATTTGTCTGGGAAGTCACAGAGGCCTGCCTCTTAATGGGAACAGTGCCAGGGAATTCATGATCATGTTTTAAAAGCACTTACATTAGTTTCCTTTTGCTACTATAATAAACTGCCACAAACTTAGTGGCTTAAAAATCACACATATTCATTACAGTTTTGGAGATCAGAAGTCCAAAATTGGTCTCATCGGGCTAAAATCAGGGTGTTCATAGGGATATATGGAGATTGTAGGGGAGAGTCCATTTCTTGCCTTTTCCAGCTGTCTAGAGACTGCCCATATTCCTTGGCTCATGGCCCCCTTCTCCTATCTTCGAAGCCAGCAATGGGTAGTTAAGTCTTTCTTTTACCTCATTATCCTGACACTAACTCTTCTAAATCATTCTTCCACATTTAAAATAACCTTTGTGATTATTTTGAGCCCACCCAGGTAATCTAGGATAATCTCCTGTTTTAAAGTCAGCTGATTAACAACCTTAATTTTTACCCGCAACCTTAATTCCTCCTTACTGTATAACATAAGGAATTCATAGTAATCAGGATATAGAAACTTCGAGGAGCCGTTACTCCACCTGTCATGCTATAGGGTATTCGCTTGAAAGGACATTGCAGACTCTGTTAAATTACTAGCATGTGAATACCATGTCTTTTTCCATCAAAGACTTAAAGCAACTAGGCCCAGTGCCCTGGCACATTACTTCATTTGAATGTGCAAAAGTGAGAATAACGTTGATTAATTGGTGATTTGCCAATAAATGTAATTTTCTTATATGACTGTCAGTGCTGTATATGAAGATCAAATGTCAGCTAATCTTTTTTTTTAAATAATATTCACTAGTGATAATATTCTTTCACAGATGTAACTTATGTGGAATAACACCTTAATTTCAACAAAATCATGATAGTTTTTGAAATATGGTCTCTTTCTTTTCTGTTGTTCTCTATTTAGTCCACTGGGTATGAGTGTTAAATAATAGAAAAACCTTGAAGTTAAAAGGTTTTTTCATAGTGGATCAAGTTAGAGCAACTATTGATGCTCCTGTTTCTGTGTAAGCTGATTTTCTGTAAATCCCAACTTTCTCATCTTCAGTTGAGCTACAGGATGCTGGAGACAATTGGCAAGTCTTTGTTAAGTCTCGCATTGCACGGTACTCTGGCTGACGAATCCTGACTGGCAGTAGAATAAAACATATTTTGATCTCTTCTATTTATTTGGATGACCTTTTGATGATCCTGGTCCATGTTCAACGTGCCATCATTTTGTGCTCACCTTATTTCCTATCCAGAACATTTTAGAGCTATTAGTATTTTAATCTTTAAATGATCTTGCTTAAGATGTTTACTATTCCTATTTTCTTCATTAAATTTAATTGATCAATAAACATTTTTCTCCTTATATGTATCACTAAAAAATATTTGAGGGACCTGGTAAGATTGTCTGCTTCGCACTGTACCATTTAAGAGGAATCACATCTAATATTTTTATCATTTGATAGACAACAGATATGTAGGAAGGATGTAATTGTGGAGTAAAGAACAGTACTTCTCACTGAATTGATTTTATTTTGTGAAAACTGCTTCATATTGTCCTTTTTTTTTCCTTCCCCGTTTCAGCATAGACTACTAAAAATTTTGTTAGGGACTGGCATTAAGGAACCTTTGAGCTAAAGGATAATTAACCTTGGGTTATTTTCTCTTTGGGCTGGAGAATGTCACGTGGTACTTTGTAACTGAATTCATGAAATTGTTAAGGTACCAGTAGAACAGTATTTTCCTTTAGTATTATTTGTACTCAGATTTTGCTATATAAATAAATTGTGAAAAGAATCAAAAGTATTAGAAACAGGCCCATAGAATGTAGGTCCCGAGCATCCAAGTAGAGACTCTGTGCCCAGTTAAGCACTGTGTTTCTGTTACAGGTGCCATCAGGCTTGTTCATTCCCAGCATGGCCATTGGAGCGATTGCCGGAAGGATCGTGGGGATTGCAGTGGAACAGCTTGCTTATTATCACCATGACTGGTTTATCTTTAAGGAGTGGTGTGAGGTTGGAGCTGATTGCATTACACCTGGCCTTTATGCCATGGTTGGTGCTGCTGCATGCTTAGGTAATTTAACTATGTCTGTGGATGGATGTTTGTGAATCTGAGAGAGAAAAGAGCAAGAGTGAGAACACGTTTATGCTTAGCTGGTGAAGTGGGTGAGGGTGGTACAGGACAGAGGAAGAGAATGTCAAAACTAAAATGAAACAGTACTAATATGGTGTTTATATAGTACTAGTTTTCATTTTGCCTGTCTCTAAACATTTGTTAATGCAAACATTTAATGGTGGTTAGCATCTTTTAAATATTGTGTAATATTTAATATTGTGACAGAAAACGTCTCAGTACAGCATAAGCTTAATTTGAATCTTGTCCAAGGAGAGTTTTTTCTTTTACTATCAAGGATCTTGGCTTGCCTATGATGACCGTAGCATGATTCCCGAGATTAGCATTCTAGCAAAGCGTCAGAGTAGCTCTGGCTCTGCGGTGACTTATAGGCTGTAGTAGAAGATTTCTTTACCAGCCCTCCTCCATTTAAGGTGCATTTATAGCAAAATGAAGAAAGGTAACTGTTGTTTTAATGAAAAAAAATATATATCTACATTAAATACTTAAGAGTCTATGTATTCTCTTGGATGTGAAAAATAGTTATTTCTTTTTATATTTAAAATGTCAGCTGAATTTTGGTTATGATATTTAATAATAGTTGGTATTTTGACTTATTTTTGTTCAGTGAATCAAAATTATATAATTACTGATCTTCAGAGATAAAATATCAAGTCCAAGTGAGGGAAAGAATCATTTTAATCAAAGTAGCAGTTATTTAGTAATTATCCACTTACTCTTCAGCACTTTCTCTTCAACAGTGCTAGGTGCAGGGAGTGATACAAAAAGAAATATAAAACATGGGCCCAACCTCAAGTACAGTCATGTTGGGGAGACAAGATCAAAACTGAGAAAACAATACTGAGCAATTTAATGATTATATAATGAGTATTACATAATGAGTCTATGAAAGTTATAGGAATCTAGAGAAAAAGAGAGCTGATGTAGTTCAGGTAGAGTAGAACATGAGCTTTACTTAAAATTGGTAGCATTTAGGCAGACTGGGTGGCTCAGTCTTTAAGTACCTGCCTTCAGCTCAGGTCATGATCCTGGAGTCCTGGGATTAAGCCCCACATCAGGGTCTCTGCTCAGCAGGAAGCCTGCTTTTCCCTCTCCCTCTCCCCCTGCTTGTGTTCCCTCTCTTGCTGTGTTTCTCTCTGTTAAATAAATAAATAAAATCTTAAAAAAAAGAAGGAAAGAAAGAAAAAAGATGAGTAGCATTTAAAGAAGAGGACTTTCTCTTCTGATGGTCCTGTAGGTTAAAATGATAGTACCTATGGAAGGTGCCATTTTATAAATGTTAATAAAAGTGGGGGGGGGAGGGGCCGGCTCCCGGCAAGCGGCGGAGCAACAGAGCACAAAAGCAGGACTTTTAAAAGTCTGTTCCGCTGAGGGACATCGCTCCAGAGGCTTAACTGGGGTGAAGCCCACGCGGGGCCAGTGTGGCCTCAGGTCCCGCAGGGTCACAGAAGGATCTGGGTGTCTGAGTGTCTCAGAGCTCGCAGGTATTAGAACAGGGAAGCCGGCTACAGAGACGGAGCCGAGGAGTGAGCTCACAGCTCGGGCTTACCTTGAACCGGTCGCAGGCTCGCTGAGCTTGGAGCGCAGCCGGAGGCCAGGCAGACGGGAGTAATTGGACGCTGTTCCCTGAGGGCGCACTGAGGAGTGGGACCCCGAGCTCTCGGCTCCTCCGGGCCGGAGACTGGGAGGCCGCCATCTTCATTCCCGTCCTCCGGACTCTACGGAAAGCGCTCAGGGAACAAAAGCTCCCAAAAGCAAACCCGAGCGGATTACTCAGCCCGGCCCCTGGTAAGGGCGGTGCAACTCCGCCTGGGGCAAAGACACTTGAGAATCACTACAACAGGCCCCTCCCCCAGAAGATCTACAAGAAACCCAGCCAGGACCAAGTTCACTTACGAGGAGTGCAGTTTCAATACCAAGGAGAGCCGCGGAATTCCAGAGGAGGAGAAAGCAAAGCACGGAACTCATGGCTTTCTCCCCATGATTCTTTAGCCTTGCAGTTAATTTAATTGTTTTTTCTTTTTCAATTTTTTTCTCTTCTTCTGCTAAATTTTTTTAAACTTTTACCCTTTTCTTTTTTAACGTTTTTTAACTAGTTTATCTAATATATATATATTTTTTCCTTTATATATTTTTTTCATTATTGGTTTTCTTTGTTACTTTTTTTTTCTTTTTTTTTTTTTTCTTTTTGAACCTCTTTTTTTTCCCTTCCCCCCCCCCCTCACAATTTGGGATCTCTTCTGATTTGGCTAAAGCATATTTTCCTGGGGTTGTTGCCACCCTTTTAGTATTTTACTTACTCCTTCATATACTCTTATCTGGACAAAATGACAAGGCGGAAAAATTCACCACAAAAAGAACAAGAGGCAGTACCAAAGGCAAAGGACCTAATCAATACAGACATTGGTAATATGTCAGATTTAGAGTTCAGAATGACTATTCTCAAGGTTCTAGCTGGGCTCGAAAAAGGCATGGAAGTTATTAGAGAAACCCTCTCAGGAGATATAAAAGCCCTTTCTGGAGAAATAAAAGAACTAAAATCTAATCAAGTTGAAATTAAAAAAGCTATTAATGAGGTGCAATAAAAAATGGAGGCTCTCACTGCTAAGATAAATGAGGGAGAAGAAAGAATTAGCGATATAGAAGACCAAATGACAGAGAATAAGGAAGCTGAACAAAAGAGGGACAAACAGCTACTGGACCACGAGGGCAGAATTCGAGAGATAAGTGACCCCATAAGACGAAACAACATTAGAATCATTGGGATTCCAGAAGAAGAAGAAAGAGAGAGGAGAGCAGAAGGTATATTGGAGAGAATTATTGGAGAGAATTTCCCCAATATGGCAAAGGGAACAAGCATCAAAATCCAGGAGGTTCAGAGAACCCCCCTCAAAATCAATAAGAATAGGTCCACACCCCGTCACCTAATAGTCAAATTTACAAGTCTTAGTGACAAAGAGAAAATCCTGAAAGCAGCCTGGGAGAAGAAGTCTGTAACATACAATGGTAAAAATATTAGATTGGCAGCGGACTTATCCACAGAGACCTGGCAGGCCAGAAAGAGCTGGCATGATATATTCAGAGTACTAAACGAGAAAAACATGCAGCCAAGAATACTATATCCAGCTAGGCTATCATTGAAAATAGAAGGAGAGATTAAAAGCTTCCAGGACAAACAAAAACTGAAAGAATTTGCAAACACCAAGCCAGCTCTACAGGAAATATTGAAAGGGGTCCTCTAAGCAAAGAGAGAACCTAAAAGTAGTAGATCAGAAAGGAACAGAAACAATATACAATAGCAGTCACCTTACAGGCAATACAATGGCACTAAATTCATATCTCTCAATAGTTACCCTGAATGTTAATGGGCTAAATGCCCCAATCAAAAGACACAGGGTATCAGAATGGATACAAAAACAAAACCCATCTATATGTTGCCTACAAGAAACTCATTTTAAACCCGAAGACACCTCCAGATTTAAAGTGAGGGGGTGGAAAAGAATTTACCATGCTAATGGACATCAGAAGAAAGCAGGAGTGGCAATCCTTATATCAGATCAATTAGATTTTAAACCAAACACTATAATAAGAGATGAAGAAGGACACTATATCATACTCAAAGGATCTGTCCAACAAGAAGATCTAACAATTGTAAATATCTATGCCCCTAACGTGGGAGCAGCCAACTATATAAACCAATTAATAACAAAATCAAAGAAACACATCGACAATCATACAATAATAGTAGGGGACTTTAACACTCCCCTCACTGAAATGGACAGATCATCCAAGCAAAAGATCAACAAGGAAATAAAGGCCTTAAATGACACACTGGACCAGATGGACATCACAGATATATTCAGAACATTTCATCCCAAAGCAACAGAATACACATTCTTCTCTAGTGCACATGGAACATTCTCCAGAATAGATCACATCCTTGGTTCTAAATCAGGTCTTAACTGTTATCAAAAAATTGGGATCATTCCCTGCATATTTTCAGACCACAATGCTCTGAAGCTAGAACTCAATCGCAAGAGGAAATTTGGAAAGAACCCAAATATATGGCGACTAAACAGCATCCTTCTAAAGAATGAATGGGTCAACCAGGAAATTAGAGAAGAATTGAAAAAATTCATGGAAACAAATGATAATGAAAATACAACAGTTCAAAATCTGTGGGACACAACAAAGGCAGTCCTGACAGGAAAATATATAGCGGTACAAGCCTTTCTCAAGAAACAAGAAAGGTCTCAGGTACACAACCTAACCCTACACCTAAAGATGCTGGAGAAAGAACAAGAAAGAAACCCTAAACCCAGCAGGAGAAGAGAAATCATAAAGATCAGAGCAGAAATCAATGAAATAGAAACCAAAAAAACAATAGAACAAATCAACGAAACTAGGAGCTGGTTCTTTGAAAGAATTAATAAGATTGATAAACCCCTGGCCAGACGTATCAAAAAGAAAAGAGAAAGGACCCAAATAAATAAAATCATGAATGAAAGAGGAGAGATCACAACTAACACCAAAGAAATACAGACAATTATAAGAATATATTATGAGCAACTCTACGCCAACAAATTTGACAATCTGGAAGAAATGGATGCATTCCTAGAGACATATAAACTACCACAACTGAACCAGGAAGAAATAGAAAGCCTGAACAGACCCATAACCAGTAAGGAGATTGAAACAGTCATCAAAAATCTCCAAACAAACAAAAGCCCAGGGCCAGACGGCTTCCCGGGAGAATTCTACCAAACATTTAAAGAAGAACTAATTCCTATTCTCCTGAGACTGTTCAAAAAAATAGAAATGGAAGGAAAACTTCCAAACTCATTTTATGAGGCCAGCATCACCTTGATCCCCAAACCAGACAAGGATCCCATCAAAAAAGAGAACTACAGACCAATATCCTTGATGAACACAGATGCAAAAATTCTCACCAAAATACTAGCCAATAGGATTCAACAGTACATTAAAAGGATTATTCACCACGACTGAGTGGGATTTATTCCAGGGCTGCAAGGTTGGTTCAACATCCGCAAATCAATCAATGTGATACAACACATTAATAAAAGAAAAAACAGGAACCATATGATACTCTCCATAGATGCTGAAAAAGCATTTGACAAAGTACAGCATCCCTTCCTGATCAAAACTCTTCAAAGTGTAGGGATAGAGGGCACATACCTCAATATTATCAAAGCCATCTATGAAAAACCCATCGCAAATATCATTCTCAGTGGAGAAAAACTGAAAGCTTTTCCGCTAAGGTCAGGAACACGGCAGGGATGTCCGTTATCACCACTGCTATTCAACATAGTACTAGAAGTCCTAGCCTCAGCAATCAGACAACAAAAAGAAATTAAAGGCATCCAAATCGGCAAAGAAGAAGTCAAACTATCACTCTTCGCAGATGATATGATACTATATGTGGAAAACCCAAAAGACTCCACTCCAAAACTGCTAGAACTGGTACAGGAATTCAGTAAAGTGTCAGGATATAAAATCAATGCACAGAAATCAGTCGCATTTCTCTACATCAACAACAAGACAGAAGAAAGAGAAATTAAGGAGTCCATCCCATTTACAATTGCACCCAAAACTATAAGATACCTAGGAATAAACCTAACCAAAGAGACTACGAATCTATACACAGAAAACTGTAAAGTACTCATGAAAGAAACTGAGGAAGACACAAAGAAATGGAAAAATGTTCCATGCTCCTGGATTGGAAGAATAAATATTGTGAAAATGTCTATACTACCTAAAGCAATCTACACATTTAATGCAATTCCTATCAAAGTACCATCCATTTTTTTCAAAGAAATGGAACAAATAATCCTAAAATTTATATGGAACCAGAAAAGACCACGAATAGCCAAAGGAATATTGAAAAAGAAAGCCAAAGTTGGTGGCATCACAATTCCGGACTTCAAGCTCTATTACAAAGCTGTCATCATCAAGACAGCATGGTACTGGCACAAAAACAGACACATAGATCAATGGAACAGAATAGAGAGCCCAGAAATAGACTCTCAACTCTATGGTCAACTAATCTTCAAAAAAACAGGAAAGAATGTCCAATGGAAAAAAGACAGCCTCTTCAATAAATGGTGTTGGGAAAATTGGATAGCCACATGCAGAAAAATGAAATTGGATCATTTCCTTACACCACACACGAAAATAGACTCAAAATGGATGAAGGACCTCAATGTGAGAAAGGAATCCATCAAAATCCTTGAGGAGAACACAGGCAGCAACCTCTTCGACCTCAGCCGCAGCAACATCTTCCTAGGAACATTTAAAAGGCAAGGGAAGCAAGGGCAAAAATGGACTATTGGGATTTTATCAAGATCAAAAGCTTTTGCACAGCAAAGGAAACAGTTCACAAAACCAAAAGACAACTGACAGAATGGGAGAAGATATTTGCAAATGACATATCAGATAAAGGGCTAGTGTCCAGAATCTATAAAGAACTTAGCAAACTCAACACCCAAAGAACAAATAATCCAATCAAGAAATGGGCAGAAGACATGAACAGACATTTCTGCACAGAAGACACCCAGATGGCCAACAGACACATGAAAAAGTGCTCCATATCACTCGGCATCAGGGAAATACAAATCAAAACCACAATGAGATACCACCTCACACCAGTCAGAATGGCTAAAATTAACAAGTCCGGAAATGACAGATGCTGGCGAGGATGCGGAGAAAGGGGAACCCTCCTACACTGTTGTTGGGAATGCAAGCTGGTGCAACCACTCTGGAAAACATCATGGAGGTTCCTCAAAATGTTGAAAATAGAACTACCCTATGACCCAGCAATTGCAGTGCTGGGTATTTACCCTAAAGATACAAACGTAGTGATCCGAAGGGGCACGTGCATCCGAATGTTTATAGCAGCAATGTCTACAATAGCCAAACCATGGAAAGAACCTAGATGTCCATCAACAGACGAATGGATAAAGAAGATGTGGTATATATATACAATGGAATACTATGCAGCCATCAAAAGAAATGAAATCTTGCCATTTGCGACAACGTGGATGGAACTAGAGGGTATCGTGCTTAGCGAAATAAGTCAATCAGAGAAAGACAACTATCATATGATCTCCCTGATATGAGGGAGAGGAGATGCAACATGGGGGGTTAATGGGGTAGGAGAAGAGTAAATGAAACAAGTTGGGATTGGGAGGGAGACAAACCATAAGTGACTCTTAATCTCACAAAACAAACTGAGGGTTGCTGGGCAGAGGGGTGTTGGGGGGGGGTTATGGACATTGGGTAGGGTATGTGCTATGGTGAGTGCTGTGAAGTTTGTAAACGTGGAGATTCACAGACCTGTACCCCTGGGGGAACAAATATATATATATATATGTTTATAAAAAATAAAATTATAAAAAAAAAAAAGTGGGGAGGGGGGCTTCAAAAAAACATAAAGAAGAGGACTATTTTTGAGGAATGTAATCATCTAAAGGCAAAGGAATTGGGATAGGGATAAATTTAGTGTTCATGGAGCTTTGAAGATACTGACAATATTGAAGTAGAGAGTGCGTTTTGGATACTTTTGGGAAATGAAGTTGGGTTAGTGAGAAGGAACCAGATTATGAAGAGGCAGTGATTTGTGTCAAGATCAGTTTGTATGTGGAATTGGTCAGATCTGTGGAAGAATTGTGGTTTTGGGATTTGTAGCTTGACAACTTTGGGAGTGTTTCTTTGCTTTGATTTTTTATTTTCTTATCTTTAAAACAGAAATAATAACTTTTTATCTCCTACTGTTTTGAGGATTAAATGAGATCAAATGCATGTAAAGCTGTTAGCACAGTGCCAGGTTAAAATAAGTCGCTTAGTTTAAAAAAAAAAAAAAGCCTTTATGAACAGACTAGGGACATGCCTGGTATAGTGTAGATAAGTAATATATAGTAGGTTCTTTCTCCCTTCTATTTTTAGGTTAGAAAACCAAAAGGAAGAGTTTAAGCTTAATACAGTATGAACTGGTGATTCCTGGTAGGTTTTTGAGCAAAGGAGCAACATGGCGAAAGTAGTACTTAGGAAAGATTAACCTGGGAACATGATTTATAAAGTGGATTGAAGGTAATGGGGCCTGCAGTCAAGGAGGTAAGATAAAATAGTGTTAAAATTAAGGAACAAAGTCTTGAGAGTCTGGACTAGTTTGGTAATAGTGACCGTATTGAGAAAGGGACCCATAGATATTTTGCAAAGCAAATCAAATAGGACTGGGTGAGGGTCTAGGTGTTGGGTTAAAGTAAAGAGATGGATCTGGAATGACTGTCTAGGTTGCCAAGAAGTCAGGGAAGTTGGAATGGGTAGCTCTTTGGGGGAAGAAGAGGATTTTGGTTTTAAGTGTGTGGTGTTTTTCGTGACAGTGGGTCATCCACAGTCTTTTTATGGTTGGAAAAACGAGACAAGCAAACATTAAGATGAGGTATGCAGAGTTGGAGACATGGGACAAATGCAACAGTAAGTGAGACATGTGGATTATGAGGCATCAGCATACAGATGGTAGTTCATCCATCTACTTGGGTAGATGATTTGGGTAAATAGATGAGTTTTCTAAGGGAGGGGATATTACCCTGTTAACAGAAATCACAAGGCATTGAAATATTTTACTCATTTTGAAAAGATACAGAATAGAGATGTATATTAAGTTAATATTCTACCCACATATGACCTTAATTTGTAAATTGGCAGCTGTGACATAAAAGGTAGCTCTTACATGCTTCACCAAATTCTAATAATCAGTTTTCATAAGAGTGAAATTATGTCCTTGCTATAGCAATAAACCAGAATGGCAAGCTTGCTTTAGTTGGTTGGCTGTGTACTGTGAAGTAAACAGGTTTTGAAATGTTATTTTAATAGTCTTTTGTGTTAACTAAAGAAAATCATTGTTTCTCTAGATCTTATTAAAATAGTGATAATTGTCCTAAGAGACGAGTAACAGTTTTTTTTTTTTTTTTAAGATTTTATGTATTTATTTGACAGAGATCCCAAGTAGGCAGAGAGGCAGACGGGGGGGTGGGGGTGGGGGGGGGAGCAGGCTCCCTGCTGAGCAGAGAGCTGGATGCAGGGCTTGATGCGGGGCTCAATGCAGGGCTCGATGCAGGGCTCCATCCCAGGACCCTGAGACCTGACCTGAACCAAAGGAAGAGGCTTTAACCCACTGAGCCACCCAGGCGCCCCGAGGAGTAGCAGTTTTTGATGATAATCCTTTTCACTAAGTTTTATTTACAGTTCATGTTCAAATGCCTAGTACAAAAATTCCATTAACATGTTCCTGTCCTCCTTGACCAATGGTGCTTATTTTTTTTTTTTTTCCAGGTGGTGTGACAAGGATGACTGTCTCCCTGGTGGTTATTGTTTTTGAGCTTACCGGAGGCTTGGAATACATTGTTCCCCTTATGGCTGCTGTTATGACCAGTAAATGGGTTGGCGATGCTTTTGGTAGGGAAGGCATTTATGAAGCGCATATCCGGTTAAATGGATACCCTTTCTTGGATGCAAAAGAAGAATTCACTCATACCACCCTGGCTGCTGATGTCATGAGACCTCGAAGGAATGATCCTCCCTTAGCCGTCTTGACACAGGACAATATGACAGTGGATGATATAGAAAACATGATTAATGAAACCAGCTACAATGGCTTTCCTGTCATAATGTCAAAAGAATCTCAAAGATTAGTGGGATTTGCTCTCAGAAGAGACCTGACAATTGCAATAGGTACCCTTTTTAAAAAATACACATACATAAATCTATCTATATCTGTATCTGTTGGAATCTACATATATTTAGATATATATAGACATATAATAGATTTCTCAAGAAAAGGAAAGCAGTAATATTTAATAGGTTGGGTTTGTGGGGGCGAGAGGTGTATTTTTTATTTATGTCTCTGAAGGTCTTATATTCATTAGGAAAGGAATTATGCATCTGAATTGTTTTCCCACTAAGTACAGTTTTTTTGGTCAGTTTATATTTATTGGAATAGATAGACATTCTCAATGAATGAGGTGAAAATTAAATTTAAAATAGTATGATATGTCAGTACAGTTCTTTTTAAAGAAATCTTTTCATTTATTAAAGATTTTATTTATTTGAGATAGAGTGTGCTAGAAAGAGCATGAGGGGGCATTCAGAGGGAGAGGGAGAAGCAGGCTCCCCACTCAGCAGGGAGCCCGGTGTGGGGCTGGATTCCAGGATCCCGGGATCGTGACCTGAGCCGAAGGCAGACGCTAAACTGATTGAGCAACCCAGGCTCCCCACTAAATGTAGTTTTATCTTTTGATATGGCATTGTTGTCCGAGATCGAAGTCCGATTCTTTCTTTTTCCACTGATAGAAACCTTGTGAAGTTGATATTGTTCATAATAGCGTATAAGATAAGGCCTTAGCAAGTGCCAGGGCATCCCACTAAATACATTCTTATATTTAATATTGGCTTATTTGAATGCAAGTTATTGAAAATCTCATCTTCATAGTCTGTTTTGTATCAGATTCACAGGTTTTCCTTATCCAGCTTTTGGATTTAGGTTTATAATATTAACATAAAATATCTGCTTGAAAGTGAAAAAAAATTGAAATTTTATTTTGGTCAAGTGCTGTTGAAAAGTATATATAAGTTGTATTTTGAGCTGATATTCCTGCAAATACAGATGAAAGGCATTAGCCATATTATATTATTTCTTGGAGATAAATTAAACTTTTATGAGGAGGAAACAAGTTGTATTCCTCCGAGATTTATTTTTCTCCTTATCTTATAGTCCTGAAGTATTGATGAGGAGGCTAATAAGGCCTTTTCTATATAACCTGATTCCTTTCCCACTCTTCCCCCAAATCCCAAAGGTGATAAAGAATATTTTCATCAAGCTGTGGTTTTCATACTCCTGAGTTTTCAGTGGAGGACCATGAGCCAAAAATGTTAAGCATTTGGTCCTATGATCACATCCTCTACAACTTATCTCTATAGCCATTTGCAAAAGGATTGAAAAATAATTTAATTCTTGTGCCGTAGGAAGAGGGAAGACTTTGGGGAGTATTTCTCAAATTAGAATGGAAATGCTCTGTTTATAAGAGCTATCAAGGGGCGCCTGGGTTAAAGCCTCTGCCTTCGGCTCAGGTCATGATCCCAGGGTCCTGGATCGAGCCCCGCATCGGGCTGTCTGCTCAGCAGGGAGCCTGCTTCCCTTTCTCTCTCTCTCTGCCTGCCTTTCTGCTTACTTGTGTTCTCTGTCAAATAAATAAAAAATCTGAAAAAAAAAAAAAAACTATCAAATAAAACAAAAGTGCCTACAGAGAATATCCTATTTAGTTAAGGAAAAGCCTACAGCTCTGGAAGAGTTTTTTAAAGACTAGCAATCCTGTCATTCCAAGTTTTGCTGTAGGTAGTAGAATAGTTGCCGAGAGTGGGCAATATGTATGGTTAGATTTGGCTCTTGTGTTTAAGTGTTTCAGCTTCTAAGCTGTTACTGTGGCCAAACTCACAGAGAAGAATTTCATTGTGTAGATTCATATTCTTTAGGTTTTAATGGTAGCCAGCCAAAGGAAAGAAAAAGGTCAGAATTGTAGAATTTACTTAGAAATTTAAAGGAAAACAAGGGCTTTTAAAGAAGAAAGTGTTAAAAGTTAAGAATTACTCATAATCCTGCTGATTCTGTGGATATATTTTTCAGTTTTATTACTATCTTGAAACAGAATATTGTGATAGCAGATAATGTCAGTTTAAGGAGAATAGGTATACTTGAGACATGTGAAATAACCAGTCATGTCATCAGAAATATTCCACATGTGAAGACTTTTAGGACACACCTTAAATATTTACCTACATATATTTTTATAAAGTTTACATTTTTGAATGAGAAAAATAGGCCTGTACATGAAGTTTTGTATATACGTGTAACATATAAACTATGTAGTTATATGTGTTTATATAACATATTTTATGAAAGACAAAAATTGCTTGAGTAACAGGTAAACTGTATGCCATATCCAGGGATGGGAAAACTCCAGATTTTAAAAGTACAGTTTTCCCATAATTTATAAACTCTGCATTTGTATGTCATTTCATTATTTAAAAATTTTAGATTACTTATAGATGGTACATTCACATAGTTCAAATCAAGAAGATTAAAATTATACAGTGACAAATGTCTCTCACCCATGACCTCATAGTTACTACTTTAACTCTCTGTAGGCAGCCATCTCTGGTTTCTTATGTATTCTGTAGATACTATTCTATACTTCTATAAATGTTTTTTTTCTTTTTAAACAAATTGTCATGCTGTCTAAAATGTGGTGTTGTGTACTTTGTTTTTTGTTTTTTTTCACTGGACAATGTTTTTTTGGACATCTTCCCAGTGACTTTCTTCATTTTCTTCTTTTAAAGCTATACAATATTCCATTAAGTGGGCATACCATGGGATACCTAATGATTTCTAAAATCAGTTCCTCACTGATGGACATTCAAGATGTTTCCAATTTTCTGCTGTTATAGAGATAGCTCCCTGTTATATTTGATTATCTCACATATTCAATATTCTGCCTATGTGCAAATGTACAAAAATTACTGCAAGTGGAATTGTTGGATCAGAGAGATGGTGTATTTGTAATGTTGTAAGATATTTTCACATCACACTAGGTAGTGATTATACCCTGTACTCCCACCAGCAGTGAATGACAATTTACTATGTTAAAGTTTAGTTCAAATGGAGAGACATTTTTCCTGCATTTTTATGTCAAGATTAAAAGTGAGGCCGAATGTTTTATAGATTTGTTTAAAATGAAGCATATTTAACAAAATGTGAATTGAATCGTCTTTCCTATTTTTCCGACTTAAGGTATAAAAAATACACTTGTTCGTTTCTATTTATGTAATACCCATAAGTTTCAGGGGGACTCTTAGTATATGAAAACCTAAATATCATTTACATATTGAACACAATAGAAGGTACATGGCACAGTGACAGGCTGCTCCCCTATTTGTACTTTTCTCCTATCCCCTCAAGATTTTTTGTTACGAATAAAGCTTTAGTCTGCGTACTGAGGAGAGCTAATTTGTTAAAGGTTTCCCTTTCCATAGCAACATTTAGAAACCTTAAAATGAGTTTATAAAATAATATGCATTGCCAGTAAGTGGACTTGTCTTTTGTTTATCACTTTGTAGTAGCTAAAGTAAACTTTATAACTGCTTGGTTAGTTGAGATACCATTTTACAGATTTAGAGATTTTTTTGCTTTCTAAGATTACTACAAGTGATGAAAGACTTCTGGATCCATGGGGAATGCTTTTGCAGTCTGTCATTACCAGGTTTTACATAGTCAAAAATGAAGGGGACAGCCCGTGTGTCTTTCTTTGTTGATAAGTTGTGAGAAGTTAAGCCCTTGAGAGTGTATTAACATGAACAAGAATAATAAAACATAAAACTTTAGGGGGAGAAAGGTGATCACGTTCAGACATTTTATGTTTAACATTATGTTAGAAAAGAACCATTTCCATTCCCCTGGAAGTGTAACTCTATTTTGCATGCATACTTTAAAAAAAAAAAATGGGGGCGCCTGGGTGGCTCAGTGGGTTAAAGCCTCTGCCTTCAGCTCAGGTTGTGGTCCCAGTGTCCTGGGATCGGGCCCCGCATAGGGCTCTCTGCTCAGCGGGGAACCTGCCTCCTCCTCTCTCTCTCTGCCTGCCTCTCTGCCTACTTGTGATCTCTATCTGTCAAATAAATAAATAAAATCTTAAAAAAAAAAATGCCTGAATCGTATCAAAATGAAAACTATTATGATATTTTCTGCTTTAAAAGCCTTTGAATAAATGGCATTATTTTTTATCAAACAAAGCAAAACAATCCTAGCAGATGTCCTGGGCACTTTGTGTAAGTACTCGATAAATGATGCCTGTTAAAATAGTTACTGTATTCATGTAGAGGACAGATTTAAGTCAGGCTGTGTGTTCACTAGCCTTGTCCCTTGTATATCAAAGGAAGATTACAATAAGCAAATAAATAAGGTTAATAACTTTTTCTAAAATTTTCTGAAACTTCTGTCATTAAATGTTTATTTAAACAATCTCAGCATATTTTCATTGATGGTATAATATTTATTTTAAAGTAAGTTTGATGAGTAGGGTTGGTTTTAACTCAGCATCTGTCCTAACAGTATTTATACTCCACCATTCATAGGTCATTAGCCAGATGCTTTTGTGAGTTAAGAAAACTTAAGGAACATTTTTTTTTTTTAAGATTTTATTTGACAGAGATCACAAGTAGGCCGAGAGGCAGGCAGAGAGGTGGGTGGGGCGGGGGGCGGGAAGCAGACTCCCTGCTGAGCAGAGAGCCCGATGCGGGGCTCGATCCCAGGACCCTGGGATCATGACCTGAGCTGAAGGCAGAGGCTTTAACCCACTGAGCCACCCAGGCACCCCAAGGAACATCTTAAAAGAATCACTTATATCACTTGCCCATAGGCTTTCTTCTTTTCTATGCCTTTATCATGCTTTTGAAGTGGTTTAGTAAGTAGTAATTAGAACTTCACTTAGTGCCTTCTACCTGAATGTGTTCTAGCACAAATTAAATAAGGCTTTAGAGGTCAGGAGGAGCAAAAAGAACCGCAGTGTTTGTTTATAAGCTGCATATGTTTATCTGCTCAGTCTAGGACTGATGCTTATTATTTTGGCTTAAATATTTTTGTAACAAAATTCATGTTTAAAATATGTTCAATATAGGAAAAACAGATTTGTGAACACAGTTTTGAATACATACAAACTCAAAATACAAACATAGAGCTATTTATTTTTCTATTCTCTCCATTTCATGGGTTTCCTTTCTCGTCTTGTGGTCTCTGTTCTGCTGTTTTTTGCATTTTTACCGCTTCTTGTCTAGCACCGTCAAAGGTCGGAGTGTGGAAGTTGGCAGCAAACAGAAGCACTTGAAGCAGAGCACACTGAGAGGGGAACTTAACAGAGACTTTACAGACAAAACTTGGAAAATAAGTCTGTGTCCATCATGTGCATAGTGGTAGTTTCAACCCACCTATTAATGCTCATGACTCGCTTAGAAAATTGAACTTTAACGTTAGAGAAGGAACTAGCTAATTCACAGGGATGGAGTATATACCAACATAGTCAAATCAGGAACATAACTGTAGTCCCACCTTTAGGATAAGTGACATTTTAGCCTGGGCAGCTGTCATTTGATGATGGATTCCTATAACCATGCTATAATTTGTGCAGGTTTTCAAAAACCATATTTCACACCTTCTTCCTTGTCCTTCAGAGTTAGGAAATAGCTTCAGCCCCAGAAAAGAAAATTGATAGATCATAAATATTTTACTTACATGAAGATGATTTGCTCTTTGTGTATTCTTTTTTTTTTTTTAAGATTTTATTTATTTATTTGACAGACAGAGGTCACAAGTAGGCAGAGTCAGACAGAGAGAGAGGGAAACAGGCTCCTCGCCGAGCAGAGAGCCCGATGTGAGGCTCGATCCCAGGACCCTGAGATCAAGACCCGAGCTGAAGGCAGAGGCTTAACCACTGAGCCACCCAGGCACCCCTGTTCTTGGTGTATTCTAATCCTGTCCAATATAAGAAATTACTGTATCAGTTTTCACTGGATTCCTTTCGTGGTTAAGAAGGTAGGAAAAAAATGAAGGGACTAGAAGTCATGGGATACATTTGTTTATTTTTTCAAGTCTCCAAGTAAGCAGATTCCCCTTAACACAAATTAACGTTGGGTCTTCTCTCTCTCTCTTCAGAAAGTGCCAGGAAGAAACAAGAAGGCATTGTGGGCAGTTCCCGCGTGTGTTTTGCACAGCACACCCCGTCTCTTCCAGCGGAAAGCCCTCGGCCCCTGAAGCTTCGGAGCATCCTTGACATGAGCCCTTTCACCGTGACCGATCACACCCCGATGGAGATTGTGGTGGATATTTTCCGAAAGCTGGGTCTGAGGCAGTGCCTTGTAACTCACAATGGGTAAGTCTGGTGAAAGAAATCAGTTTGCTTCACAGAATTTATGACACTTTTTAGTGGAATTCATATTCAGTTCTTAGGGGAGAGTTTAAGTCAGCTTCCAAGTGGGAAAATCTGTCTTTTTAGTGTGGTTATACATACAGGATCAGTATTGATCAGACTGGCATCAAGAATAAAAAAGCGTCAACTGGCAGATCTTTGCCAAAATGTAAAGTAGCATTTGTCAGAACCACTTCAGAGGTGGCAAAGAGGAGGAGTGGACCTAATCTCTGTGGAGCAGAGAAAAAAAAACAACCATGTTTCCATTTTGTACGTATTTCATTCTTTGAATTTAATGTTCTAGTTCAATAATAACTTTCTAGGTATTTTTGCCATTTACAATTCCAGCCATTATTTTTTTTTACCATGTATAATTAAATGAAATTTGTAAGTTAGCTAAAATCCTCCTTTAGCAAATGCTTTCTGTTTCCCCTTTTCTACCTTTTCCATCCACACATTTTTCATATAAACTCCTTATGACAAAACTCATATATTTAAAATGTATAAATTGGTTAATTTATTTTTCTGTCCTTCACACATGAATACCAGTGTTTCTCTAGGATAGGACTATAGAAAAGTTTTGTTTGGCAGATGTCCCAGGGACAAAGTGGAGATGTGATACACAGTATGCCTCAGCAGCTGTACTCCTGCTTCATTGCCTCTGCTCCCCTCTGTCTCTGTCCCTGCCCCTGGGATCGGATTCCCCACCCATTCTCTCTCTAGTCCCCTTCATGTCCATTATACTGCTGTTCCTCGTTGAAATACTTAAGAACATTGTTTTATCTGAAGGCTGAAGACAGAAAGGCTGAAAATGAGAAACAAAGGGTATTCTTGATTGTGCATAAATTAAATGGTTTAGCCCTGCCCTGCCTGAAGCTGATTGAAATACTAAACACTTGGAGAATCACAGCGGGTTTTTTTAAAAAAAGCATTTTTTTCAAAACATGTGAGTGATGAAACACATGACCCCTGTCTAAAGAAAGGAGGAAAAAAGAAAAAAAAAAAAAAAGGGAAGGAAATTTATTGAGTACTTTCTTCAGGTTTCTCAGTTAACTTTGTAGTACCTTTGCAGAGTAGGTGTTAGCATCCCTACTTGACAGGTGTAATAATTGCAGCTCGGAGGGGTTTAATAACATGCCTAGTCATGTGGTTACTAAGTCATTGATCTGAGAATCAAGTGTCTTTCCAGTTTTAGAGCCCAATCTCTTGCTACTATTTTTACACTGTTGTTGACTTATAGAATATATTTTCTTTTTTTGTGATTCCTTAAACTTCTACCATTTTCTTGAACAATATATTGTGCCATATTGGGTTAAGAATAGAAATATAGAGAATTAGATCCATGTTTTTAGTGTTTTCACTGTGCTAACCAATTAGAATAACTCTAAATAATGTGAAATAAATTATTAAAGGTATAAAATCCTTGATGAAAGCCAGGAAGTTTGGAATTATTAAATATCACAGATACTAATTGGTAAAGAGATACATATAATAATAAAAAAAAACCTATTTTCTTTTAATGTTGTTTAAGTAGAAAAATAATAGTTTCCAAACTTCATTGTTTGAAAACTTAGTACATGTTAAATGGAGTAACTTTTTATGAAGTTATGTGGGTTTTAGGGCCCTTTTAATTATAAATGGCTCAGTTAGAAGCTAAACTGAGTTATTATAATTTTTACTTGCTTTGACTTATTCTCTGTGCCTGGCATGGTTTGCCCTTTTGTATGCTAACAAATATAAATGTCACTCTAGTTATGATTACCTCTGATCACAAACCTGTGTGAGTCAATTACTATATTTCACTTTGCTGACAAATTTCCAGATTTTCAACAGCACAGATATTAGAAAGGAAAATATTTTTTAGAAAGTGTAAAAATAACAAAATGTGGGAGAAGAGGAGGATAGCTGATTAAAATCTTACCTCATACTGCCTGTTTATAAGAAAGCTTGTGGTGGGGAGTAGCTTTTTCTAAAGGAATATGTTTAATTGCCTTGATTATTAAATTTTTCTTATTTCTGTCCTTCAAGGAAAATAAATTGGTATATATAGAAAGAAAAGAGATCATTTGTGATGGTAGCTCTTGGGTCTTTATTTTCTTGGAAGTATGTAAGAAAGTAAAGTGTTTTTATTCTTTCTTGAAGTTAAATGACTTGGAAATTAGAAAAGAAGCCATTTCTAATAGTTTTTAGTGGAGAGTGTGAAATTCTGGATAGCTGTCAGCATCTTCTAGTTCACAGTGGGTCCTTAGAGGTGGAAAATAACTATCTGGGGGAAGAGACACAACAAGTCCAGACTGTTAAGAAAATGAGAATAAGGAGATGAGGGAGAAAGTGTGTCTGTAAATTTTAAAGATGTCAGTTGTAGATTTCCCATGTTTTATATTTTAATTAGCAGAATTTCTCAAAATCTTTTTAGTCCTTTTTTTTAAAAAAAAGATTTTATTTATTAATTTGTCAGAGAGCACAGAAGCAGGGGGAGCAGCAGAGGGAGAGGGAGAAGCAAATTCCCCACTGAGCAGGGAGCCTGATGCGGGGCTGGATCCCAGGAACCTGAGATGATTACCTGAGCAGAAGTCAGATGTTTAACCTGAGCCACCCAGGTGTCTCCAGATCTTTTTATCAGGAATTTAATAGGCATTACTCAAAAAGAGTTTTGTGATCATGTAAGTTTGGAAAGTATTGGATTAAATACAATTGAGGTTTCTCTGTTGTGGAATGTCTCAAAACTTATAAAATGTTGATACTATTTGAGTCATAGGGCCGATAGGAAACATAGTTTTCCAAACTTGTTTGAACATGCAGCCTTTTATTTTATTTTTAATTTTTTTTTAATGGAGGAAAGAGGACAGAAGAATTCTTGGGACTGGTGTTTTCGGAACATATTTTGGAAAGATGTTGGGTCATGCTCTGTTAACTCTTAAATCATTGCTTTTTAGCCGCCCAAGGAAACAGCAGATTATTCTTTATATAAGTTACATTTTGCATTGATTTTCTTTGTATTTCCTGCAATTAATAAAGCACTGAACTTGGCCTTATTTTTCTCAAATCACTTTTCTCCATAGGAAGTACATTATTTCCTCCTTTTAACAGGATCATTACTTTGGAATATAGAGATTACTTTATAAATCTCCAAATTTGCCACTTGGTTCTTAATCAATCTGTAACTCTCCTCATTTTGTATCTTGTGATTTGGCAGAGCTTACTAATATACTAACTGAAGTAACCATTGTATATATAATTGGAAAGAAAAGAGTAAGAATTAAACTGGAATTATTTGTTAAGGTTTTTCACATTTCCTGACTCCCAACTATAAATTAAAGTGAGTTGATGGTTTTTTATTTTTTCTGTCACACTGCTAAGAACATCCATTGAGTGATTAAGTACTTAGTTTATGTATGCATTTTTTCTTTCATAAGTGCATTTTCTGAGCCTTTTTGGAGGGAGAACTTGTTCGTATCCTCTGACAGCTTTTCAATTTATCTTGTTCTTAAGGATCAGTACATTATTTTAAATAATGAGAAAACATTAGCAGAGAACCTGTTTCTACCTTTGCCAATGCCTGCCCTCCCTGCTTTCCTACCCCCACACCCAGGCATCATCCTTAATAACTGTTTTATAACTGACGGATCTGTAGGCTTTGACTATTCTTTAAGTGAAGCCCCCTGGTGACATTCTTTAAGAAGTCAGAATGTTCAAAGGCAGTTGAATAGTAAAGTTGACTTAACTAGATCACCAGTACCCTGAAGGGCATTCTTGATGGCCTTCCAGAATTGAAGATTAAGGCTTTTTAAAGTCTTTGACATTCATTATTTTTGTTGCTATATATTGTAGTTGAATTCTTCCATTATAGAACCAGTAACCAGGATTTTGTTCTAATAAATCTGATTATTTTCAGGTATCTTTGTGAGAATTTATGTCCCTCATTTTGCTTGATATTATAATAGTGATAGGTTAAGTGAGAAGTAATCATTTAGAAAAAAATGCATAATGTAAAAGTCATTTTGACCTCTACTCATAGATATATCTTATTAGCTTATTTTAAGGAGTAGCTTTCAGTAGGTCCTAAAAAACTAGGGGATGTGTGTATTGGTTGACATTATTTAAGTGCACGTTGCCTTTCATTTTAATCCGAAGTAGTCGTAAAACCCATGGGATTTCTTCAGTCTGCTCATAGGCAATTGAGGCTAAGCTTTCTTTCTACCTTTACACTGCTGAGGTAGATCCAAATAATAGTGGCAGCATCGCGACATTTTAAGAAATTAGAAAAATACTTTCCCCTAATGAAGGAACACTGAAAATGAAGCTAAGTTTTAGAGATTTATAGCTGTGTATTAATACTGTTTCTTTTGCACTTTTCTTTATAGTCATTTTCATTGCAAACTTTTATGATTTTGATTTTTTAATTTAAAAAGGAAAACAACTCACCAGTATTTAGAAATAGTATCATGTCTCTTATGAAACTCAGTAGAAGTTATGCAAATGGGACCTGGGATTTCAAATCATTTTTGTTTTTAGTTTTCTAAAGTTCATTAAAAGCATTCTTATGGTTCATGGTTTTTTTTCTCATTCTTTATCATTATGATTGGAACCTCTTTTAATTTAATTTCTCACACAGTTATTAGCATAACATGATCTGTTTCAGGATTGTCTTGGGAATCATCACAAAGAAGAACATATTAGAGCATCTCGAGCAACTAAAGCAGCACGTCGAACCCTTGGTGATTAGATATATCAGATCTCCTCATTAGACACCTTAGAAGTCAGGAAGCATGAAACTTGTGAACTGTTCAGTTCTGTCTGTCCCAGATTATCTGCTGGATAAAAAGATCCTACATGCTGCCAATTACATTTATATCTCATAAACTATGTTTGCAAGATTAATTTAGATATTTGTAAGATTCCATTCACAGGAAGTTAGCAGAAGTTAATGTCTCTCATCAAAATCATTGGTTGCAATTTAAGAACTGTAAACAATTTGTTAGTTACATGAGTAAATATTATTGGACGTTCTTAAAGTAAACACAAGTCTGTCTACCTTAGCGGATACACCGATCTCAGAAGGTGCTTGACTGGTTAAAAATGTCTGCGCCCGCCCCCCAAAAAACCCTCCTCCTTTTTTATGTTTCCTAATCTTGTGGTAGTCTTGTGGTAAATCTAAGCTCACAAATGATTTTAACTGAGCTTAGCAATGTTAGAATTGCCGAATGTTCAACATATTTTTTATGGGCACACTAACTAGCGCGTAATGTTGTATATATTTGTGATCATAGCATTAGTTCCTTTTCTGCTACACCTTGCATATCTTCACAGTCAAGAATGTGTGTCCTGCTGTTTCATTAGTGAACTGTACCTAGATTATTTGTGTGCCCCTTTTGTATGATGTTTCCAGAATGCTGTGAGCAGCTTTTGGGGTCAGATGCATTTGTTTTAACTGGCTTTATGTCCTAGTGGTTTCATGACTAAAGATAAATTTTGAATTACCTTACCTTATAACCTAAAAATTGTCTGGCTTTAGCAATTAATGCCTGAAATTATTTTGCCCTGCAATTGTCATACCTATATAAAACCTGTCCCAGTTTGCTTAAGTACACAACTGATTATGTATTCCTGTTGTATGCTAATATTTCACAAGTGTTTCATGCATCCTTTTTTAAAAAACTACTAACCAGAATAAGTAGCTACTCATTCATTCTGCTTTCTGCTTCACCTATAATAATCTTTTAGGATTGCTTCTTGATTTTTCACCTCTCTTTTACTCTAAGCATTAACAACCAAGACTTTCATAAAAGCACTGTATTTAACTTTCTCGGCCAAAATCAAAAGAGGAAAACATTGATGAGTGTACTAGAAACTTGGGTCGTTTTCTAGATTTGTTCTTGGGGCTCTGAAGTTTGGGATTGGAGTTCTTTGTTGACTATTTTATCTCAATTGTATGTGCTTTCATGAAGATTCTGCATACAACTGGGCAGTCCTTAAGTTATTTTTTTGAAGTTGGTTACGTTTGGTTTTAAAAAAAAAAGGAATATTGAGGAGATTTGGTCATCAGACATATTACTGCTTTCTTGGTGTCATGGCAATGAATTTTCCTTCTCAAATGGGATCAGTATCATTTTTTGTTCACACATCCTCCCATTTTTTATTTGTTTTTTTACTTTTTTTGTTGGCATACATGAATCAAAGTACCTCTATTTCAATGAGGCATGCAGTCCTCAGAGTCTTGGTGGAAAGGACATTGTACTGTTAGTGACCATGATACTTTCATATCAAAGGATGGTTGCTGGATAATTTAATTATCTTTACCAGTAAAATACTTTTTGAAAATATAAAATCACGGTGCTTGCTTTGCTCTCTTCCTGTCAACAAAAAGGGTTTAGCTATAGAGTTAGCTTTTCTTTTCTTTTCCCTTTTATTTTAATAGCAATCTTCTGTTTATTGCTTTCAGGCGCCTCCTTGGCATTATAACAAAAAAAGATATCCTCCGTCATATGGCCCAGACGGCAAACCAAGACCCCGCTTCAATAATGTTCAACTGAATCCTATAGATGAAGAGAGAGAGGAAACAGAAGAGGAAGTTCATTTGTTGAATAGCACAACTCTTTAACCTGAGGGAGTCGTCTACTTTTTTTTGTCCTTTAAAAAAAGAAAGAAAGAAATCTAAAAGCCGGGCTTTTGCCACACAGTTTGCAAACACTGCTGGTGGAATGGAGGAGTTGTTTGGGGAGGGAAAGGAGCGACAAGGAAGTGAGTGAGATATTTCCCCCGTCTAACCCAGAGCAGCAAATCATCTCCTCTTGTACACTGGATGCATTCAGCCGAGGATGTGCCCGGGACCGCGGGCTGGAGCGTTGGCAGAGGGGGCACCGCAGCCTTGGAGCACCCGGAGCACCTGGCCTGTTACTCCGATGTCGCACAGACACATTCGCATCCCTGTTTCTGGAGGGATTACTTTGAATTGAGCCATCGAAAAGACTGCAAGGTCTTGCCCTTTTGTATCAATACTGTTCTGTTTAATTCATGAATTATATAGTTAAGCATTATCTTTCTACATTCCAGAAGAGCTTTCCTTTCTCTCTCTCCCTCCCTCTCTCCTTTTTCTTTCTCTCTTGAGCTGTGACAAAGCCTCTTTAAATTGGTGTGCCCTTTTGAAACAGTCCTTTCTCATATTGAGATGTACTGTGATTTTACTGAAGTTTCATCAAAAGAAGGGAGTGTTTCTTGTGCCATTAACCATGTAGTTTGTACCATCACCAAATGCTTGGAGCAGTCACATGCACCACAACAAAGGCAATTCGAACAGGTAAAATCTTGAATGAACCGTGAACAGAATCTCTCAACTTGTGTGCATTGTGGTTCAGAATCAACAACACTGAACGTGACTTGTAAGGATAAAGAGTTTTCTTTTTGTTTTTTTCCTCTCAGACTTTATGGATAATGTGACCTGGTCTTATGCAAATTTTCTATTCTAAAACTACTATAATACACAAGTACTGTTCAGCATAAGGAAACAAAATGCTGCTGCTTTGACAGTAAAGAGAAGGAAGTATTCTGTTTAGCTGTATCTGGTATTAATTGCATGTTTAAACACTGGAATTTTTTTTCTTGAAATTAGATCAGTCATTTTTTTTTTCTTTCTTCAAGATATTTTATTGCTGACACTGAAGAAGAAATGTAATTCATAACTTGCACTAAATGTATATTTCTTTTCTTAAAAATTTACCATTCTTATTTATATTTTTATGGATTAAAATTTATAAAATACAGATCAGTTAATATCGCGCTTAAATAATTTTACCTTTTTAATGTGATTTTTATAGACTAATTCAGACTTACAAATATGGAGATATGAACAAAGTTTACACTGGGAACAAGGGTTTAAAAAGAGGTTGTGGTTATTTGTCTATGATCCAATGTGTACATAAACCTTTTTCTGATCTTTCACTGCCATCATCTGGATTATGTCTTCTGACCTGTACATTTTGACTCATTAACTAGAAACTTAAAACACAAGAAATCACTTTGCAGATTAAAACCAAAAGTTAAATAATGTTAACTTAAATCAAACAACTGAAAACATCAGTTGCAAAGGTAGCAGTTAAAATTTTAATCTGAACATAACCTTTGAATCTTGGGGTACATCACATCCGTAAGTGTTCAGTTAATGTTTTGAGTATCCACAGTGCACATTTTTGCAGGATGAGTTGAAAATGTAGGGGGTGTGTTTGGAATTTTTGTTTTTGGAAATGTCTGTCTTAATCATGGTCTTAATTCACTATCAGCAAAAGCAGTTTACTTGAAGGACTGGCCTAAATAATCTGGGCTTATGCATTCTTGGTAATGAATGAATTACCAATTTGGTAATAAATGAGTGTTGCAGACAGACATTTTCTGAAACGTAACCGGCAATGAGCCGTTTTTACATTTTGGAAGTGATTCTTCACTTCCTCGATCTTAAAAATAATATATCTGTAAGATCTTGAAGCTTTATTAGATCATGAAGCCATATTAGAATGACATTTGAAAGTTGAACAACATTTTAGGAATTTTGTGAAACATTTCTCATTTTGCTATCTGCCTAAAATCAGTATTTTGTCCGAGTTTACTTCCCCCACCCCTTTGGCAGACTTCAAGCTTTCTTAATTACCCCTTCAAAGTTCATTTGCCCATCTGGAGTGAAATCTTTTCTAAATGATACTTCTATAGATCTTATCTTCATCTTGTCCTGAGTGTCTCTGCAGTGTGAACTCCTCAGCATTGGCTACTGAATGGCTTGTTTGTCTTGAGTCTTCAAAGGAGAAAACAGCTTCTTTGCAGATAGCTTTGTAACATTAAACGTCACATGGATTTAATTTTCCATGTTTCCTTTTTGATTTCATGTCCTTGTCCCATTGCTCATCCTGCTTCACAGACTGACATTTCAGGGTGGATATTCAAGGTAGATATTAATTTTCTTCCTGGTATGTTTCTATCACTTGATGTGTCTTACTGCTAAAATACAGGAAGAGTGTTGTATTTCTAATGCATTCAGTGGTTTTCTTCAGTAATAGTACCTGTTCCACTTTTCTTTTTGATATGTTGAGGTATGTCTGCTTTTCAACCAAATGATGAAATAGTGGAGACCATGAAATATATGTGCCTGGCTAATTGGCAAAGTAATTGACCAATATAATAAGTGGAGCGCCTTATTGGAGTACCCTTTTTGAGAAGGTATGATGAGAATGGGCAAGGGTGTCAGCATCTCTTATTAATCATTGTTTTCAGTTTTGGTTCATGAAGAATGCTTAGTTTGTTAATCTGTGATGTTGCCTAGAGCTGTATTTATCTGTTTTTATTTATACTAGTGTAGTAAAGCATATCATTACAGTAAAAATGATTACTGTGATGAGTTAATCAGAAAATCTATTAAAATCTGTATGACAATGTGTGGTTTGGCCTTTAATTATATTTGTAATATCCTCCCACTTCTGCTGCTGCTCTATGCAGTGTAGGCCAATATGCCTGGCACATGCAGCCTCAAAGGGGTGACAAACAGAATGCTTCTCTCAGGTTACAAAGACAGGCGAGGGGGTGACAAAGGACTAGATGCTGGATCAAACAGCAGGATATAAACACTACCAGCAATAGTAGAGAGTCTCTGCTTGTCAGTGCAACATCCAGGTTTACAGAAAGATTTCACGCCAGTTTACTTTCAAAAAAGAAAAATTATGCTGTTGGCATGAATTTAAAACATGTAAATGATTTACATGATTTTTTAAAAAGATTTATTTATTTTAGAGAGTGGGAGGGGCGAGGGAGAGAGAATCTCAAGCAGACTCTGCATTGAGTGTGGAGTCTAACCTGGGGCCCAGTCTCATGACCCTGAGATTACAACCTACACCGAAACGCAGACGCTTAACTGACTGTGCCGCCCAGGCACTCCTACATGTTTCTTAAAATATTACTTTGTAGGGGCACCTGGATGTCTCAGTGAGTTAAAGCCTCTGCCTTTGGCTTAGGTCATGATCCCAGGGTCCTGGGATTGAGCCCCGCTCTCTGCTCAGCGGGGAACCTGCTTCTCCCTTTCTCTCTGCCGGCCTCTCTGCCTACTTGTGAGCTCTGTCTCTCACATAAATAAGTAAAATCCTTTATACTCCTTTGTACATTTGCTAATAGAACTGCCTAAAAGAAGGTGGTAACATTTGAATTCTTAAAAGATTTCAGTAGTCTAATACTAAACTCATAAAAGTAAAGCTATTTGGACTGAAAAGGTAAAGCTATTGGACTAAAAAGTCTGGAATAGATTTTTTTTTTTAATCATTCATTTCATTTGATCATTCACTGAGCTTTTATTGAATACTTACTGTGTGATAGGCACTGTGCTGTGTTCCTGAAGCTTACGTTCTAGTAGGGACAGAGACATACATGGTATGTCAGATGATGATACGTATCACAAATTAGTTCAGCAGATTTTTTTCTTATTCCTGTGTGCCACACAGTTCTAGGCATACATAAGTCAGGAAAAAATTACCATTCTAATGGAGAGAAATCAGTAATGGGGATTTTTATAGAGGGTGATGAAAAAGGGCCTCAGCATTAAGGTGACATTTGAGCAGAATCTTAAAGGAATGATACAGTTATCTGTGAGGAGAATGTTCTGAGAAGAGGAAGTAGTATGTGCAAACATCCTGAGGGAGGATATACCTGACAGAAGGAATACCAAATAGGTGTCTGTGGCTGGAGTAGGGAGTAGGGTGTAAGAGGAAGGAAGAAGTTAGGAATATACTCGTTTGACTTTTATTCTGAATGAAATGGGAAGCCAGTGGGGCAGAAAAGTGACATGATCTGATTTAACGTGGTCTCTGGCTGCTTTGTTGGAGATAGACTATAATGTGGAAGGGGTGGAAGGAGGGAGATGCAATTAGAAGGCTCTCGGAATAATCAAGGTAAAATATGATAGAAGCTCAAACCTGCCTGGGGCTGGTGGAGGTCGTTCAGGTGGCTGGACTCTAGACGTTTTGGAGGTTGCATAGACCGGATTTGCTAATGGATCAAATGTGGAGTGGTACAAGGAGTAAAGGAGGTTTCCAATGGCCACTGACTGAATTGGGAATGACTTCAGGAAGACTAGATTTGAGGTGTACAGAGGAATTTTGGTTTTAGACATTAAATTTGAAATGACTTTTTGGCTTCAAAGTGGGGCTGTCAATTAGGCAATCGAATATACAGAGACAGGTTCAGGAGGAAGGTCCAGCCTAAGAGACCTGAAACATCTGGGAGGTATCATCCTGAGCCAGGAGGGGATCACCATGGGATTAAGTGGTAAGAGAAGGCGGGAGCGTTGACATACATGTATACTTATATTTGAGGTGATGAGGGGCCGGCAAAGAGGGAGGCACCAGTGAGGTAGGGGGAATACTGGTGCCTTTAAGAGAAAGGTGGTCCCCTAAGGTAAGTGAATGTTTCAAGGAGGAGCAACTTTTCAGGTGTTGCTGATCCAGTGAAGTAAATGGGGACTGAAAATTGCCTAGTGGGAGATAATGGATAATTTTGACCAAGGCTGGTTCAGCGAGATTGGGCAAAAGTCTGATTGGAGTGCGTTTGACAGAGATTGATGAAAGGAACTGAAGGCAGCAATATTTTATTTTTTATTTTTTTAGGATTTTATTTATTTGAGAGCATGAGCAGGTGTGGGGAAGGGGCAGAAGAGAGAGGGAGAAGCAGACTTCCTGCTGAGCCGGGAGCCCTGTCATAGAACCCTGGGATCATGACCTAAGCCAAAGGCAGATGCTTAAGCAACTGAGTCACCCAGGCGTCCCCGAAAGGCAGCTATTTCAACTCTTGCTGAGTTTTCTGGAAACTGGATGTGTGAAAGACTGTGTTTTGTTTTAGGATGTAGGGTATTACAGCTTTTGTTATTGGTAGGAATATTTGAGAGGGAAAATTGATTTGAAGAGAGGGGAGAGGTCTTTGAGTAGGGAAGAGGGGATGGCATCTTGGGCACACAGTGGGACATTAAGCAACAGTCATACCAGTGTGGAAGAGGCAGAGAATATTGGGTAGTTGGTAGTGTGGGGTGAGATCTTGTGGAAGTTACTTTGTTTTTTTCCTAGTGAAATAAACTGAGGGCTGGGAGGTATTGTTGCGTGTTTGAGGAAAGATGTGGAAGTAGTAGGATTAATGAGCAGTAGTACGACAACTTGAGGTTAAAACAAGACCGGTGTCATGGTTATTTTTTCCCCCAGCCACCTGATACTGAGCGGAAGCAGGAGTAGGAAGCTTTTTATCAGGCTTAAGGTTCTAATGTAAGTACAACTAATGGAGAGGGGGCAGTGGAGTAGATGCGGGGGAGTGATGATAAGGATGGAGAGTGGAACAGAAGGGTGGGTGAAGAGGGAAGCGAGAATGCCAAGTGAGTAAAGAATAGTGAAAAGGGCTGTTAGATCAGTGAATTGGTGTAGGCTATGGTGGGGACTAGAGGAAGAGAGGAAAAGATGGGTGGTGATATTTTAGACAGTAGGATGCTTAAAGCAGATTAGGTTTACATTATTGTGCTGACAAGAGTCTAGGGTGTGACTTTGGAGTTGATGGCTAATGAGGGGGACCGTCTAGATCAGGGGTCAGCAAATTTTCTTCTGTGGAGTGCCAGATAGTAAATCCTTTAGGCTTTGGGGCCATAACAATCTACTGCAACTGCTCTGCCAAGCTATAGGCACACATAATGTGCAAATGAATGGGTGTGGCTGCTCCTCCAAGAAATTTTAATCTACAAAAACAAGGAGTGGGCCAGATTTGGCCCTCAGCCCTAGTTTGTTCACCCTGGTCTAGATACTGAAAAAACTGTGAGGTTTAAGGTATCAGAAGGATCATCTGTGTAGATAGTTATCTGTCATTGTGGCGAAGTAGTTTGTAGCACTCTCTTGGATTAAGTTTTATAGCTTTCATTTTTTTATTGGGTCTATCTTTCTAGGTAAGTGTTTGAGAGGTCATACAGAAACTCTGTTATCAAGCTCCAGGAATGAGCTCAGCTAAATTTGAGTAGTGATTCTGTTAAATTCTTATTGGGTTAAGGTACTTCACTTG